TTTTGAGTTTTTTTTTGATGTAAAAGATTACTCAAATATGAGAACACTTGAAATCTATGTAACCCAACGGATAGCTGAATAAAACGCGAGCCACGAAATCGGTTTGGTTACTCAGATTCAAGTCTTATGAAGAGCACCCTCAATTACTAAACCTCTACTACTAGAGTACACACATCTTAGAGGTGACCTTCCAATGGCTTACAGCATCTTATATACATTTGGATATTCCCTTAAACACCTACTTAAACTTATTTCCATCACAAAACTCAGAGGTAACACCCAAAAACTGGAGAATCTACACGGTAGAACGGACTGAAGATACACTTTCCATTCCTTAAGGGTAACCAAATGCTGGAATTCACTGTCAGCTGAGGTAGTCCAAGCGACTTCCCAGGAGTCTGTTAAAAGAAAACTTGGCATATTCTTAAGGACTAAATATAGTATCTTAACATGGTTTGGCTTTTTTCTTTCCCCTCTTTGCCGATAATATACCTAGGTTCCTAAATGGAGGTGATGGTTTCAGTTTCAGTTTCAGTTTGGGAAGGACAGGAGGCTCGATGGCCTATGTTAGTCCTGGCAATGGTGGTCTCTCAGTTGATCCAACCTTCTTTTGAAAGAGTCGACGGATGGAGCCTCAACCACGTGCTGAGGTAGTGAATTCCACTCGTTGATGATTCGATGGGAAAGTCGATAGTCAGCTGACAAGTAATTTGTTCTCGGCTTATGAACATTTTTGGAGTGTCCTCGTAAATTCTCTGTTTTGGAAGACAAGAAAAATGAGGGCATGTTAGGTGCAAATTTATCACTAAGCAATTTGTAGACTGTAATCAAGTCGCCTCTAGTTCTGCGATATGACAACGGGAAAAGGTTCAGCTTGGCCAGTCGAGATTCATACGGAAGCTTCGCTATTGCGGGAACCAGCTTAGTCGCCATTCTCTGAACCTTTTCCAGAAGCTCTCTGTCTTTTTTAAAGCAGGGGCTAGCCGCTTGTATGCAGTACTCAAGTTTAGGACGAACGAACACTGTATACAAAGTCAAAAACGTCTTAGTGTCGACATGACTAAAAGCCCTACGTATTGACCATAACGTTCTAAAACTTTTGGCGGCTATTGCACGGCAGTGTGCAGTAGTCTTTAAGTCTTGACTAACGATAACTCCTAAGTCATTATATGTCTGGACGACAGGTAGCTCAGTGTTATTCATCGTGTATGTATCTGTGCCTTGATGACCGATATGCATCACAATACACTTGGAAGTATTTATCGGCAACTGCCATGTTTGAGACCATTCAGATAACTTCTTCAGGTCATTTTGAAGTTCTAAGCTATCACTCTTACATCGTATCGTTCTCCATATCTTGACATTGTCAGCATATAGCAAGACCGATGATGATAGGAGACAAGGAAGATCATTTACATACAAGAGGAATAGCACTGGCCCCAAAACTGTACCCTGGGGCACTCCACTAAGCACAGTTTCCCAGCTAGATAACTTTGAGTTCACCCTTACTCTTTGTTGACGCCCAACTAAGAAGTCTTTTATCCACATCAATAAATTGCCTCCAATCCCGACATGTCTTAACTTATATAACAGCCGGTTGTGCAGAACTTTATCAAAAGCTTTACTGAAATCAATGAAGGCGACGTTTACAGGTAGCTTTTGGTCCTTAAGAGCACACCAGCTTTCACGAGCCACTAATAAGTTAGTGAGACAAGAATAAGCTATTCTGAAGCCATGCTGCTTCTCCGAGAGGATCAGGTTTTTATCGAGATACTTAAACAGCTCCTTCCGAATAATCTTTTCTAATATTTTAACAACCACACTAGTTAGGCTAACGGGGCGGTAGTTCTCAGGTTTGTGTTTCGTGCCTGTTTTGAAGACAGGACTTACTATGGCGTTTTTCCAATCTTTCGGTAAGCGACCCTGCGTAACGGATAGGTTAAAGCATGTACTTAAAGGGTTCGCAACGAAGTTAGATAATTCCTTCAGTAGCCTAGGATGTAATTCATCGGGCCCCGTGGATTTACCTATGTCAAGCTTATTTAGCAGACCAAAGACATCGAGTTCTTTAATGGTCACGCTATCCAGTGTATGTATGGGGGGATCTGTATACGCTGACGAGAAGGGCGCTTCTATGGTATACACGTTGCTAAAGTAGTTCGAGAACGCTTGAGCCTTACCAAAGTCGTCCTCCACTAATGATGAAGCAGTACTGTCTCCCCATAGAGCAGGAATATTTCCTTTTCTCCTTGTCCTTTGGTTTATATAGGAATACAAGCGTTTAGGACATTCTATGGATTCCTTAACAAGTTTTTCTTCGTACAATTTTCTAGACTTACGGAGGGTCGAGGCACAAGTGTTCCGAGCCTTTCGATACTGAGATTTTGACTCATCAGTCCCCAGTAACCTAAATCTATCCCACGTTTTCCTTTTCTTACGGAGAAGGATACGGACCTCCCTACTGAACCATGGTGGTGAGTTTTTCGGCCCCTTTGGTATAGTCCAAGGGATGTGAGGTGTGGTAACTTTTAAGTATGATTTTCGAAATGTGTCCCAGGCCGTTTCAATGGAGGACTCTGGGTCTATTGTCCAATCTATTAACGATGCTGAGTGCATGATGTCTGGTATGTTTGCTTTCCAGACGTTGGGTCTGGACTGGACTGACGCGTCCTCATGACTGGCAGTTATATGGAAGTCGAAAGTTAAAACTGCGTGGTCACTTTTACCTAAGGGTGGCATATGGTGGAGGTTCGCAACATCATCCTCATAGTGAGTCAGTATAAGATCTAATAAGGATGATTCAGTGTCCGGGTCGTACCTAGTCGCTTCTTTCACATGTTGCACTAGGGCACATGTGATAACCGCATCAACTAGTTCCTGCTCAAAGGAATTTTCTGACGATTCAGTTCGCAGATTTTCCCAGTCTACCATTGGTGCATTAAAGTCCCCTAGGATTAGACATCGACCACTTTGGGACCAAGTATTGAGACTGCTTAACAGGATCTCATTTGCCTCACAGCTTGGACTGCGATAGACCAAACCAATCAGCAGCTCTTGTCCCTTGCATTTTAAGCGAAGACTAACTAATTCGCATGTCCCACTCTCATGGGATACACTATCGATAATGGTAAATGGGATAGCATTCCTAATGAATAGAGCTACTCCCCCTCCTTTGCGCTTTTGTGTTCTGTCGGCCCTTACTAACGTAAAGCCCTCGAAATCAAGTTCTATACTATCTATAGCCTGTGTCAGCCAGGTTTCTGTTACTGCGATTATATCTGGCTTTATAGAGTCAATCTGTACACCTAGTTCCGATCGCTTATTAAGTAAGCTTCGTGCATTGGTGTAACAGATCCGAAGCCTGTTTAGGTGCCTTCGTGCTTCACCCAGAGTGGCTTCGGCATCATTCTCTGTCGAAGTCTTACAACCCGAAAATTTACAATTTTTAGGTCCTTTTCGCCAGCGTCTAACCTATGTTGTAGTTCTTTCTCGGCTTCCCGTCTTTTAACACGGTCTGCCAACGGTAGGTCCTTTCGGATAAAGACTCCCGAACCCTTTAATTTGTGTCCATTTTGTAAAATTAGGTCACGTTCGTTTGATGAGCCGAATACTACTTTAAGCAGTCTGGAATGATTTGGTTTCGAGTCCGTTAGACTCCCTAGTCTATACACCTTTAGCAAGGTGACCCCAGTCATATTTTGAGGCATGAGTTGATTAAGCAGCTGCCTAATCAGTACAATGTCATGCTCAAAACGAGCTTTAGGTTCAGAGCTATCGCTCTCCTTAATTCTATGAAAAATAGCTGATCTGTCGCTATGATCAGCTTTCGATATTTCAACCACTTTTACGGGGGCAGGTTTCCCTTTTATGTCAATACTTTTCTTCCTTACAACCTTTACCCATTCGTTAACGCTGCTGGTAGAAGCAGTAGCAGTTGCGTCAAAACTAGTGTTGGGTTTTGGGGGGTTGTCGACGACCTGAGGGGTCGTGTTATGTTTACCATTCGAAACCGATCGAGCCTTGCGATTGCGGCTCCTAGGTGTTTCCTGTTGGATCCCATCTGGGAGACGGGGAACAGAAGACCCTGCTTTTCTTGAGCTTTTTTTTAAGGCAGACCCCTTTGGATACTGCTTTTCCTTCTTCGACGGGCGTGAGTCATCTATCACCGGACTCACCTTAGTTTCCTTCAGATTGATTTGCGTGTCAACAGATCGAGTGCTGTTTGACGCGTTCCGACTATGCTTGTTGAAACACTTCTTGGCAGCATCAACCAGTGAGATAGCCTCGGTTAACAAGCTGTTTGCATCCGAGCAGCACTGTTGACAAAGCCACACACAACCCTTCTTACTGAACCGTTTGAAAGCAGCAGGCGTTAAGTTCGTGCAAACTTCGTGGTACCAGCCTTTGCACTCGTCGCACTGCATGCCGCTTTCAACAGGATAACGACAACCCGGACGTTGGCAACTGCTTTTTTTACACTGTCCGGTCATTTAGGAGGGGTTTTTTCAATATGCGATGATACCCAGAAACAAAAAAATTATCAATGACCAAAAAAGTAAAGAGCTGTAGATTGCTAGGACCAAAAGTACTAACAGATACAGTTGAAAAAGTGGTACTAAAGAGTACCAACGACAAAACAGTAAAAACGATACTTTAGTCGAATACTTTAACTGAAATAAATTCAATTAAAGTGAAAAACAGTAGTCTTGATACGTAATAAACGATCAAAACAATGAAATTTACTCAGCGAGGAAAAATACCACTGTCCTTTTTAAATAGCCTTTTTCTATATCTATATCGCCAGATCTATACAAAGAGCATTTTGAAAAGTTGAAACTCTTTACTCTATCCCATCGCAAACTAAGAGGAGATCTAATTTTGATGTACAGAAAACTGGCGAATGATTTTCGACCTAACTTATTCTCTCTCTTTCTTCGCATTAGATCGAGACATCTCAGAGGACATCTTGCATCATCACGATGGCATCGTCTTCGTTACTTGAAGGGTGGACGTTATCACACATGGTGCGTATGAATTCAATCCAAATCTAGAAATGTCTTGATCTGACCGCTTCTGAAAAACTTCATGAACTGTCGATGTGACGCATCAATCATCTTGCGATAGTTTGACCTTCAAGTGCTCGCAACCTTCGTCAGCGGACGATACCTTGAAGCGTTGCCATTTTACTGTCTTCCAACTATGTCGAAACTATTCGATTTTCGTAGTTTAGTATCGTAACTGAGAGCCGCTGAAGGTCGTTAGTTGGGTCTACGTCCACTGGCTTCGAAGGAATTACAGGTGAATGCATCACACAACATACCGTGCTAGAAGTCAATTCCGGAATACGAGACTTCTCTTTCATGTCTATACCCAAAAGGTTAGTATTGTAGTGCTATGACTTATGTAGGAATCAGTGAAATGCACTCACTATGTTCATAGCAGGAAAATTGGCTTATTCAGTTTCACTCATGTCCTACTTCATGAAAGCTTTTATGAAGTAGGGACCAATTGTGAGTTAATCTCCCGTTTGGGGAAATCCACAAAGTCCAATGGCCTTCCCTTAAGTTTTGGGGGATATTGGAAAAAACCCGATATGTTGGGGAAGTTCCCCAGTTCTGAATACATTTTGGGATTTTGGTGCTATTTCTCCAGAATGTTCTATAACGGCTTCCCCAAAACAAGTCGAGTTTTCCCAATAATTGGGAGATTGTGAAATGTCCTTTATCTACGAATGTCCGATAACACTGCTCGAGAAACAATACTACCAGGCTCTGTCTATTTGTAGCGTAGTAGGATTAGACCGAAAGTAAATCAACGGGTTGATTTTGTCACAAAAGCAAATCTTTACACGTTACGTATAGAGGGTTATAACTTCCAAATTTTGGGGAAAAATTTGTCTGTCTTAGGGGAATTTTGGTAAAGCCGTTATAGACAATTTCGAAGGAAAGACACAACCCATAAAAATTTCCCCAAGTTTTGAGAAATTCCCCAAAAACTGAGGGAAAACCTCAAAATCAGCAGGTTTGGTACAGCAAAAATATCACTAAGATAAGATAACATTCAGTGAGAATTCGGGTGGGTTAGGAGTTTAGATGCCTTTTTCTAGTCCTGAAGATGGGGACCCTGGTGCGATTTTATTTCGAATGCGTTGATAGATGATGCTTCCACGACATGATAAACTGATTTCTACCGGCTGATGGTTTGATGGGAAAGTTTGAACTCAAGTGACTAGTATTTAGTCCCGGGATCACTAATTTTTTAGAGAATTGTAAATTTTGATCGACAAGAAACATGATGCGACGTCTGATATAGAATTATTGTTGATTAGTTTGAAGACCGTGATTACCACCTCTAACGGAATGAATAAGTTTAATTTGTCCAGTCTCAGCATAGACCATGTTTGAGGTTTCGGGAGTCTGTTCAGCTACTGCTTCTTGAAACCTTCCCAACAGCTCACCATCTCTTTCAAACAGGTTAACTTTTCGTCTTAAATGGCTGATAAATTATGTCCTAATTTTGCAATAAGACTCATTTGTTGTTTTGAAGTATTCATAAAGATACCAAATGGCAGTACGTTTTAGGTTTTAATATTCCATAGTAGTTGGTTTTATATCGATAGCTTGATAGGTAATCCACTGGATCTTCAAATATTGGATCCGTGGTTTTAAATTTATCCGTACCTACTCATAAAGGTAGTCGAATAGTATTACCAGTTCTAACACAGAAATTGTGACTCGAAGCGGAGTATATGAATGTTTACTAGGTTTATTGGGCTCAATTGGTGTTTACATTCAGTTCCATACTGCACTAATTAGTCAGAGGAAGCACGTCAATCGCATCAAACCATATTACTATTTTATGGGTTATGGTCCTGTGATCTAATTAACTGACTTTTGTCCGAAAATATCGTTTTTTCTAATTGGGTCTGGACATCTTTGCAGTATCGTGATTTATTACATGACGAACCGTTGTCTCTTGATGGTGGACAGTTACTACAGCTTCGCTTTATATCTACTCGTGTTACTGTTAGCTTTTTTATCACTTTGTTGTCCCATATATTCATCTCACCTTGATACACAACGTGATAAATTAGACTGGGACACATTCATATAAACTTCTTTGTTATTTGTTTTATTCATTTTTTTGCATCACGAAATAAATGTTATTATGCATTTTTGTGAAAGCAAATATTCTGTTGATATTCTATATGGTGTTTTAGAAGTTAGTGGAACAATGTTTTAACATAACGTATCTTGGTCTCTTTTCAAATACTGTTATTAAAGAAACTCATATGCTATTTAATACATGTTCCTTGTCCGAGAGATCATCGTGGTCAAAACATTGTCCACAGTTCGATAATATCCAATTGAAATATCTACCGATCGACAATGGATCCAATAGTATACGATCTGTATCGAATGCTTGTTTCACACGTGTCAGTCCAACCAGAATAGACAATCCTCGCGTAGTTTTATTTTCTCCTGATGCACTTAGTTTGCTAAATATTCGTCATGAAGTTAACCATCTTGATGAACAAAAATGTATAGAGAAAACAGGAGAAACAAATCATCTAGTTGAATATTTGTCAGGAAACAAATTATGGCCTGGTAGTGATCCCACAGCTCATTGTTATTGTGGGTATCAATTTGGTAGTTTTGCTGGTCAACTTGGAGATGGTGCAGCAATGTATGTAAGCCTCTTTCGAATTTTTATTTTTCCAAGCGTATTCAACTGTGTGTAATATTTAACAATAAAAAGTAACATTTTGGAATTTTTTATAATCACTCATTATGCTACTTCACTTTACTAGTTGGTTATGGTAAGTGACTGGGTTAATATGATTAAAAGCGTTAGATTATTAGAAACAATTGAAAAGAAGCTCTAGTGTTCTCATCGTAAATAGATTCAGATCACTATTGACCTCAGTCATTCAGTTTGTTACAACGCAGGACCAGGCATATACATCGACACCCGAACTAATGATAGGGAGTGAAGTAGTCGAGCGTGTAAACCGCTTCACTTATCTTGGGAGTCTAATCAGATCTTGTGGTCTGGTGTTTGACGAAATTTCAGCACGGATACAGGAGTCTTGTCTAGCTTTTGCCAGCCTGTGTCATTTATGGCGTAGGCGAGATATCCGTCTATCAACCAAAAGGACGGGTTTACTGTGCACCAGTTCGTTCCTTCCTACTTTATGACATGGCCGGTAAGAGTAGAGGATATTTGTAGGTTACTAGTATTCGATTATAGGAGTCTTCGAAGCATTGCTCGTATATCCTGGGACCACCGAGTAAGTAATGCGGTTGTAGGAAACGGGTGCTAGGTAAGGATGGCAAATCGATTGATGAAGTAGTGAAACTTCATCAGTTGAGATGTCTGTGACATGTTTTATGTATGCCCAACCGCCTACTGCCCCGGCGTGCGATGTTTTATGGTGTAGGATTAAGTTGGGAGCAAGCTAGGGGCGACTAGACCAAAACATGGCACAAATCCATGAAATCACTGACAAGTGTACTGAGGCATGTTGATAGGTGTAGACTAACTGGTCGGGATCCGGGAGATGATAGCAGCCGACGGTTAGAGACCTTGAGTGGCATGGCTCAAAATCGTTTGTAATGGCGCATGTGCATCCACTCTTTGTGTTCTCCCAGATTCTAATCTTCTGAACTCTTCATTTTCTTTTCTTTTTTTTTCTCTTCCCAAATTTATTTCACTGGATTATACCCTTTGAATAACATCTTCAAGCCCTAATGTTTCCGATTACTACTTATACTCTTACTACCTCTACCACTACGGGATTTGAATCGACAACTGCATCACTGTGCTAATGTAGTATGGCAACTCGAACTGATGTACGTACGTACAAATTCTCTGCCAGGGAAGTCCTACTCACTGCCTTCTCGTGGCGGGGGTGTTGTTCATGAAAATGAGAGAACGAAAAGCGAATGTCCGGCGCTTTAACCGGATCCCAAACCAATGGTGCACATGGGCTCCAGTATCCTAAGGGAAAAATGGCGTCTGAACCAATTTTTGGTCACCGGCTACCATGAGAATACATCTCACGATGCTTCACTGCCTTTTGGATTAGACCTTTAGGTCGAAGGCTCGAGGTGTGGCCCCCTAAGAAGACGACCTGGACCGATGCACATATGTGCCTGGTCCTTCGTTGTAGCTGACTGACTGACTGACCTGCTTCGGTCTGGACACCCGGTCAGTATCACAGCCCGCACACACACACAAATATGGTGTGGCGCATATATATTCGGTGCCCTCTTGCACCAATATTTATGTGTTGAAATAAATAAAATAAAACTGACTGACAGGCACATATATGTATCGGTCCAAATTTCCACACCTCATTAGTACAAAAAGATGAACATCAAATCCGTAGAAGTAGTTACCTCAGTGGTAGTAATATATAAAATAAAGATTGTGTATAAGGATATAATACAGAACGAAAGAATTAGATCGTAGAAAGAAAGCTATAAAGTCATTTTAATCTCATAGTTTAAGGTAAGATAAAGAAGGCATACAATAACGCCATTGTGATTGATTCCGAAACATATCACCCAGAATCCCCAACAATTGGTTACAACAGTCGCGCGTACTCCAACCAAGTAATCTGCACGTAATATTACAAAACAAATTCACTTGTACGTTTCCAACTCATCTGACATGTTATTCTGCATGTAACTGGTCTAATGTAAGACCGAGTTGTCTATGCATTACTTGAATGGCCCAGTGATGACTAATTTCGTTCCCCAGTCCGTTCTCAGCTCCATATGTGTATATGCTCACAAGATTGTTGACCTCTTCATTTAGGGCGGAAATAGATACCTAATTTAATGATTCAGCTGATGCGTTATACCGTTTAATGATGCGTAAATCAATAGCTTAAATGCCACTCAAAGTTTAAGTTACGTTTTCCCCAATGTTACATTTTCTTTACATTCCGAGTTATTTGGGAAAAATATACGCCATCTCTATAGTATTTCAAATTGCAATCAAAACAGCCGATACTTACCAAAGAACACTCATTATTCCCATAATTTTGTGATACATATAACAATGTTTACGATCACATTGAAAGCAGCAGTCTGTGCCGAAAGATTCTGTGAATAGCTAGAATATAGAAATATAGGAAACTTACTGTTAGCGGGACATAGATTAGATTAAAGAATGCTCAATGCACGATTGCGTTGCTTCATGCTGATTGGCTAATTCTAATCCAATCAGCGCTGGTCGATACTTGGAGAACACTTTAGAATCTTCTCGTGTAAAAACTATAAATATACTAACGTTTTACCTACTGTGCTTCTTTCATATATATATATGTATATATATATATATATATATATATATATATATATATATATATCGGAAATGAAAAAAAACTTTGATCTTGTTATTGTATATTACTCAGTCACTGGAGTTATTTGTTTCTTCTAGTTCACTTGGTGAAGTGATCAATAAACAAGGTGAACGTTGGGAATTACAATTGAAAGGCTCAGGTTTAACTCCATTTTCTCGGCAAGGTGATGGAAGAAAAGTATTACGTTCCAGTTTACGAGAGTTTCTATGCTCTGAGGTGAGGTTAGATTATAGAAATATCTATACAACAATTTATCAAAATATAGTATATTTTCATGTGGGAAATGATACAATTTACACTGTACTATGAAAAAATGCTGATATAATGATATCAATAATATTGGCTAAGTGAATAGAGGATATCGTTTAAAACGAGCAAATGAGATTGGGGGAGTAAAAAACATTCGACAACATTAATACTAAATTTAGAAGATAATGAGAAAAGTAAATGGAACTGCACTACTGCAACTGATTCTGGGTGGCGTGTCACCTGACGTTTCTAGTGAGATTGTGTTTATTATGATGGTCCTCAACAATGAACTCCATACCGTTTAGTCGGTTTAGACCATTACCCAGTAAGTTCATGGACTAATAAAATATCGTATTCTGATAGCCCTTGGCCCTTTTTAACCTACTCTTATACTAGTCAGCATTGGAGTAAGCAGTCTCTTGGCGTCCATAACATCTCAATTGAAGATGGTTCACTGGCACATCAATTATTTCATCATGTTCACGTATTACTCAATACCTAACCTCAAGATTGCTCACTTGGTGATTCCATTGTATGTGGGCTATACTTTGAAGTCTCCTATAATTGGATACTAACAACCTATCCATATCTCCGGTCTAAAAACCGACTGTTTTTCTACAAAGTCGAAGTAATAGTGGGCAAATCTCTCAGCTCTTCATTTTTATGATGTGATAGATCTGACACATCTTTTCTCTATTTAACCGAACAATAGTAATGAAATGAATCACTTAATTTTGAGTATGAAATAATCTTTGTACACAATCTTTTTTGAATTAATTCTATTTCAGATAATATCACCATACCACTTGTTGCTGTTAAAATGTAATAACACTAGTCATTTGTAATTTTAAAATTATCAAGATACATAACCTAATAGAAGTAATTTTGTCGTCATTCATTTACAAAGTACTCAGCTTTGAAACCACACTTTTATTTAGAAATTAATAACACTACTTGATTGCTCGAACAGAAATAGACAGAGAAAAAATTCGAATCTGCGACTTGGTTGAAGCTTTTGTATATGTTCCTTCGAACCAAATACTTTGATTGAAACAGAACAAGGCTAAAGTATACTGAAGAACAACCTTGAGATTTCGACCCGTTTCAGTCAATTAAAAGATTGAGAATTTAAATAAATTACTGAATCGCATTGACACTTCAGGGTAACTAGTTTGTTGTTTAGTGCAAAATTACAAGGTACTTTCGTAGAATATGAAAACCATACATTAAATTCATCAGTTGCTTATCTTTGAATTGTCTCTTGCAAGCTTCATGGTTCCCTCATTCATCTTGTTATTTTGATTGCTTTCAGTTTTCTTCTCTCTTCTCTTTATTTTAATCTTCTCAACCTTCTGCTCGCAGACATGCTACTTACGACTGGTGTTACGTATCATTTATATCTGAGAACGTAAGTAGCATACACTACAAAAGTGCATTATACCAACAACCTTAGATGAATTCAGTCAATTAAAAAATAATGTTTAGTTATAAAGTAATCTGTAGCAAAAACAAATTAAGATGGATCAGCAGCTTCAACGTGGTCGATGAATAAAACGTGGCTAAGGCTGGGAATTAGGAGTCCGGGTACGGTCTGTTGTAACTAGGATTAAGGTTTTCATCACGGATCGATATCATATAAAATGATTTGTACCAATAACAACGAATAGTAATAGATTTCATCCAAAGATTCAAGAGGTGTTATCTTAAGTACGATCGCTTAATCCATACATTATAATAACGTAGTGTTAAAGTTAGACCTTGGGTGGGAAAATAATTTTTATTCACTCAAACACACTTGACTATGCATTCAGTCACGTCAAGGACGCTCAACATTTAATCAGCGCATTTAGAAATAGCTCTAATTTACATGTTGGCTATCCGATAACAGTATAGCATCAAGACGAGCATACAACAACCAGAACGAATTTTCGACTAGTTTTTAAACCAATCAGAAAACAGCTCTTGTATATGGATAATTTATAGGGAGAAGTAATAAAATTACAAAGTGTAAACAGAATTTCCATAGTCATCAAACCTATTTATGTCGTTTACAGGTTAATCTGTTTGAAAATCGAGAAAATATCATTATAGAAATTCCTACTTATGAATATATGGATTGTTCATCTTCTCGAACCCTTAAAATGGTCTCTAATAGATTTTTACGAGTTTACACATTATTCCTAGTTGGAGTTTAAGTTTAAGGTTTTCATCATTAACTGACACCAGTATAACTCAACTTAATCTGTTTTTTTTTATATTTTGAATAAAGCCAAAACCTAAATTGAGGCAGAATAATACAGAATTATTTTATTTCATGGTTACTCTTCGAATGTTTACAATTGTATTTTTATTAAAACGTCGTAATATTGATTAATGGTATAGTATAAAGTCATAAACGTTGGTGATGAAAAAGTATAGGAATGACAACAGTTTTAAGCTGTATATATATATATATATATATATATATATATATATATATATATATATATATATATATATATATATATATATATGCATCATATGAAGATAAACATAAAACGCATAGGAGCGAGGTAGTAATTAACTAGATTTCTAAAATTAATAAGATGGATTGGGATATAGTTATGGAATATTTGAGGACTTGACATAAGTTTAGATAACTGAACAGGTGGAAATCACAGATAAACGAAAAGAGGATCTTAAAATAGGTGAAATAATTGACTTGAGAAATATTTCGTATGATAATATTAGTATAAAGTTTTATGATTGTAGGATTTCCATAGTTTTTAAATCATGAACTGAAATTAGTTAGACCACCGCTAGAAACTTGAAAGTACTAGACGTCTGTCTTGTTTTAGTATAGGACCCGTCAGCAGTGCGGACCCAGAAACTTTGGTTCCGCACGCGAACACTTAACTTCTAGGCCACCAGGCCAGCACCCAACGGTGTTAATGTTCAACTTCATAATCGTGAATTGATCGGAGTTCGTTACTTAGAAGCTATGAAAATAGTGATAGTTAGAGGTCTCAGTCCAAACAAGTTAGTGGCAAATTGATTACTGCCTGTTTTTGGACACGAAAATCCTGTCTGAGTTTTTATTCACTATTGTTTTGGAAAGGAGTTGCGTATTCATGTCGGATGATAATTTTGCAAGATCAATGAAGGTCGATGAAGGCTGATGAATAAATACTGAGCTGTTGCAGCGTTCAGGGTTGTTGCACTTTTTCATCCCAAACTCGAAAATATGGGTATATACTTTTCTCTGTTTTTCTTGTGTATGTGCTTTGGAACGTACATGTTAGTTAGTAAATAGAGTTGGAGGTAGTGTGAACAGAGAACTTTTCTATTTTTGTCTGTTATAAAAGGCGATTATTTTCACTTAAGGTGAACAGCCTTTATTCTGGATAAGCAATTTTCATTTCAGCACTTAGTCTGTTATTGTTTAGTTCAATAGTCGTCTTGTTTCAAACTAAGACATAGCAAGCACATTTTCGTTTCAATTTTATGATGCCGAACACATTCATTGGTCTTAACATGTTCATCAGTAAATTTCTGTGAGGACTTATGTTCGCGTAGACAAACTTTAATGACTCTAAACTCAATTTTTTGCAAGGTCATTCGTTAATATGCTTTGGCGTTATGTGACAATATTTTAGCATTCAATAGCACTGATTGTTTGGAAAGCTGACCAATTATCGTATTCCAATTTGAACCTGACCAAAGAATCCAGTAGCCTGTATCTTATCGTGCTAACATTGTATGCTTTATTAGTAATAGCATATTGTTGATTATTATTTCCTTATAGTTTTCATATCATGCCTTACTTATTCCCATCGTTTTTAGGCAATGTATTATTTAGGCATTCCAACTACTCGAGCTGCATCAATTATCACATCTGACACTCTGGTTGAACGTGACATGTTTTATACAGGTGATAATATCACTGAAAAAGCCAGTATAACTAGCAGAGTAGCTAAGACATTCATCAGGTAATTATTATTTTTTGTATACGATTATCAATTATAAGAGTTTGTATTTCATAGGTTAAAAAACCCCAAGCAGCATTCAAAAATCTAATGGATTCGAGCAAACGAATTTTGTAAATAATTTCATTATCATCAGGCTATACGGTTATAAAGCCTTAATTGTTGCATTAGAATGACCGAAACGAGATATAAATAATGTCAAATCAGTGAACATCGTGTAATTCGCTTATTCGTTTATGTCTTATTGTGGTGATTATAATACAATACGCAGGAAACATAATCGGCGCAAAATTAAGAAAAGACAAATACTGATAACAATCTGAAGCCAAAATTCTTGATTAGAGGAATCATTACTGTATCGAAGTTTTTGTTCGTAAACACTCAGTTTTAAAGAGTTACATGTAGCCGGAGATATCTTACGAAATCAATTGTCTAGATCCTTAAAGGAGAAATTCTACTCTAATGAGCTACGAATTGTATTTTCCAAGAGATGTCTAATATAAGGATTCGCCAAGGATAAACTACCGCTTTGTGCGACCTCAATATGTATCTATCAGCTACTTGCTCTTGTGGAACTTTTTATTATTGGCCTTACAACGCGTGATCATTCCAAATACGCCTATCCATGCACTACTCAGCATGGTTATTAAAAGGTGAAGGGAAATCAGTCAATAGCTCGATTGTTGAGCACCTGGTCAAATCTGGTCATCTATTTTCACCATAATCTGCATTCAAAGTCGAAAGGATTTACACAAAGCGAAGGCCTGATCTTTAGCTTCAAAAGTGGTTTAATCCTATCCTTTGGTTTATTGTGGCATAAATCCCCCTTCTTACTTCGTTAGTCGTTTCTTAGCACATGCTTGTTTTCCTTTCTCTATCTTCCTTATGATCGTCAGTTAGAGAATCTTTCATATCTTATTTCTATATACTATTTATTTATATTATTAGTTAGTACTTAATAGGTCGAAGCGAAATGGGTTACAAGGGGAAGATATTTGACAACTTGAAGCATATTAATATGTTGTGACCATAGAGTAGTATATCATTGTAAATTGTTTGGAAAATTGAATATAGAATAGAAGTTTTGTAATAACCTGACAGTTGATTAAAAGTTGTTAAAATAAAGATCATCCATTCGATGAATATAAAAAGTAGAATAGTTATTTGTTTTAATAATAGGTGATTAATGATTATGAAGAGATAATAAATAAGTAATAGCGTCAGATTACTAAGCACAGTAAACACAGTGGGGGTTAAGACTAAAGCAAAATGAGGTATTGAACTTGATGTTTCTGCACATAGAGAATAGGCTGGAGTCCAAGGATTTCTAAAACCTTTGCGGTATATAAGTTCCTGACTTGTACTCTGATTAAAACCCTTTTATTTGACATCACGGATGACTTTGAAGAAGGATTCTGATGGAGCGATCTGACCAGTGTCAACGCGATGTTCAAGAATTGGACTGTTAACTGACCTTGGTAATCGTTTTAATAGCCAAGCAGTATAATGTTCAGAGAAACTTTTTGAAAGATCTTTACCCTGTTTTTTTATCATAACGATTACTAAAGTTGTTTAATAATCCAATGCTTGAACATATCGTAGACACTTCTTTCATCTTACATGTGTACTAACTATCAATTCAACTCATCAGTTTGATAAAATTTCCGTAATTACATGGTCAAATGTGTTTTTTGCATTTTTTTATTCACTCTGCTGAATTTGATTGTGTAATTCACGTAATTCTGTTGTGACAAGTTATATATATAGTTTTCACTATATTTTTGTTGTTCTTTCTTTCAAAGGTTTGGATCTTTTGAAATATCTAAGTCCCCAGATCCAAATACTGGGCGTTTCGGACCAAGCGTTGGTAATTTGACAATTGTATCACAACTTACTAATTACGTAATACAGCAATTTTATCCTCATGTAAGTAATTCTGTTTCCTAATATTAACTGTTTCAGAAATAAATCTTCTTAATGATATTTTAAAGTTATAATAGTATAGTTTATATGTAGTTGTTTTCTGTTCCATCAAAATGACTATAATAATGTAATGTAATTCTTATCGCTTCATCTCAAGTGGAACGGAAAAGGTAAGCCTGCTTTTGAAAATAGAAGGGATGATAGACCGAGCAAGTCCAAACAGGTCATATATTTCTCCAAAGTCAAATGAACATATGATGTCGGGAGGATAAGTTTTAACCGAGAAATGTAAGCGTAGTCAGGTTTTCTGCGAGCTAGTCGATTTCGGAGCTAGTCATTAATGCATACACACAATTATTTTTCTGTTGGATGGTTTGTGAAACACTTTTGAATTTAAAGTTAGTAGTCTTTATTAAGTCTTGAAAACTTACTAGGACACAACGGCTATCGAATGTTTCATAATTTGCATCACAAACTGACATTAGTTACACAACAATCAAAGACCAGCAAAAACCTGATATGGGACTCCTCAGCATTACGGATAGCAAATCGGTTGATAAGGTAGTGAATCTTCATCAACCAAAGTGGTTGGGAAATGTATTGCGTGTGCCCATGTACTACATACCTTGTGGCGCGATCATGACTGGCATAGGAGTAGGTTGGAAGGAAGGAAGCTGAAAGTGACCAAACTGGAATGTGGCATCAAGCCACGAAGTCGTTGGCTATTGCACTGAACCTTGTTGGTAGATGCGGACTACCTGGTTGGGGTCCGCGTGACTATCGTAATCAGTGGTTAGAGAATTAGGGCCGAGGATCGTCCCCGATGGTGCAGGTGCATTCACTCTGTTTTCCTTTTGATCTCAAGTCTTAAAATTATCTTAATACGCTCTTTTATCCGACGAATACATATTTTTTTTCTTGATTCGTACCTCCCATCCTTCTTCTACTGTTACCACCTCTATTAATCTGGTCGGCATCCAACAGTTTGCATTCCTAGCTTTTGAACCTAATCAGTGTGCCCACTGGAAATTAATTCCGAGAGGTAATTTCCGGAGTGCTGATGAGAAACCAATATCAGTGGAGTTCAAAACCATTAGTTGCATGAGAGCTTGTCTACAAATGTCATTGTGTGATGGTTTCACAGTTGATTTGATTCATGTTGAATGCTAACTCTGTGGTATGAAGGTTTATTACTCGCCACAAGGCTTAATGGTTTGAGATTTGGTCCCAGATGTGGTTGTGGATGCGCATTTTTAAAAAATCCTTATACTAGGTCAAAGTCAGCTATCCAATGTTTCATAATTTTCAGTGATTGTCTAACTAAGTTCAATCCGTAATATATACTATAAGATCCATTAATTTCTATTCAACTCTCATACTGATATCTGCTATTTCCCAGTTTTCAGTGATTCTATGTCTCTAAATAGAACAAGAAACTATAAATTATCCGTTAGTATAACTTTTTTAATTGTTTCACCTTAAAGTGGATAAAATCTTTATTTTATCCTTGTTTTCTTTGTATTGCCTGTTGTTTAAAACATTCGTCAATTAAGATTTGGTCAGAATATTCAAATGATATTATTAATTGTTATGTGGAATTCTTTAAAGAAGTAGTGAAACGTACAGCTAACCTAGTCGCTCTTTGGCAAACTGTTGGATTTTGTCATGGGTAAGATTAAAATGTAAAAACACAATAATAATTTCTATTCTGAATAATTATGCTACTTTTAAACTGATCATCTATCTATATTTTGACTAATTTTATATGATCACAAAGAATGTTTGTAGCTGAAAATAAAGATATGTATTCAGTACATATATACAAACGATGACTACTTCAAGTTATGGGTTAAACTTGCGGAAAATTCTCAGATAATTTACAAAATGTTAAGGATTGTTTACAACTACAATAAGATAAATGAAAGTAGCCTCTTTTTAGTTGAGTTTCGTTGAGGTCTATGAAAAGACTGTGGGAACGATTATACAAAGCTAAGTGGATGATTGACCTCCTTTGTTGATAATAACACCTAACACATAGTGTTTTCTTGTGTTTTTAGAGATTTTATGAAATTATTCATAAAAATCTGGGCAAACATTCATGTAGATAATTTGCAATCTAATTAGATTTACTTAGAAACTAGTAAACTTCACTGAATGTCTCAGTTTATGTTGTTTAAACTTATCTGTCATTGTCAAATTTCTAGACAATTCTATCTACTCTGTTACAAGAATATTTCTGAGGGAATGTTATATATTAGAGCTACTATAAATTTGTATTAATAACATTCATGAACTGATAGTATTGATAATTGTCAGTATGAAATGGTGGGAATTGTTGAATTTCACTGAGATCACAAACTGATATGTTTGTAGACCATTGAAAACTGGACGACCATTTTGTGAGACTCCGTAACCAATGGAACTAAACCGTGTCTGACGTGAGGAGGAAACCTAAACCAAGACGATGGAAGATAGTCACACAATATCGTGGATTGATCTATGTCGACAAAACGAAAAATTTGTTAACAGATAATACCAAGTTCCTTAAAGCAATCCATAAAAAGAACAAGACTGAAATAATAGTAAAGCAACTGATTGAAGGTCTTAAGAGGATGAAAGATGATCAGTCAATCAACGAAGATATCTATGAGCTCATAAAACGAACAGGATCGATAATACTACGACCATATAGTTTGCCTAAAATACGCGAATCTGGCCTACCTCTCCAACCAATTCTAGATATGTCCCGATCTCCTTATTACTCTATAACACAGCGGCTGGCATATGTCGTAAAACCCTTAAGAAAACGTAATTATATACACTCCTTACACAATACTTTTGAATTCATCGAATAAACAAAACAAGTGAGTGTAAATGATAAACTTGTACTCTCTCTCTCTTTCGGTGTCGAATAACTATTCACTAATGTTCCATTCACAGAGACCATCACTTTTATCTGCAAGTATATAAATAATAATGAGATGAATATTGGAATACCGGAAGCTTATCTGAAGGAACTATTACGATGCACTGGTAATGTACAACCTATATTCTACTTGGTTGGGGTCCGCGTGACTTTCGTAACCAATGGTTGGAGACTCTTGGGGACATGGCTCGGAATCGATCACAATGGCGTCGGCGTATACACTCCCTGTCTTCCCTTAAACTAAGAGACTAAAATCACTTCATTCTTTCTGTCTACGAACTAATTCTTTCTTCCTATACTATATCCTTATTGCAACCTTTGACCTAACCACTCCTATGAATCCGCTGTTCATCTTGTTGTGCTGATGCGCTATGGCAACCTGGACCGATGCACATATGTGCCTGGTCCTACGTTGTAGCTGACTGACTGACTGACAACCTATATTCAACAACGTTATTCATAGGCAAAAGGATGATATTGCAATGATATCTCCTCTCTGTCTATTACTAGCAGATTGCTTCATGATCAGTTTAGGGAACAACTAACTTGAAAGGAGTATTGATAACTTCCATTTGTATAACAGGTACGTGGATGGTATTTTCATCATTTGTGACAACAAATATGATTTGAGTAATCTTCTGAAGATATTTAATAGCTGCCATTCAGCAGTGAATAAAGTTGAAAGCAAGCAAGGTATTCACTTTCTTAATGTGAAAATGGCAAGAAGACACGACGAGACTCTAAGAAGATCTATCTACGAGAAACCCGTGTTGAACGGCCAACTATCATGTTTCCACAGCTGGGTCCCCATTAGTCGAAAGTGAAAGTTAATTATATTAATCTCCACGCAAATACGAAGAATTTGTAGTCTCGAGGTCATAGATAACTAACTGAGCGTCTTGAAGAAAATACTTACCATAAATGGATATTTTTTATATTTATTGACAAGAATATAAAGCACAAATGACCTCGGTCAAAAAGAAAGCTTTTTACATGAACATTGATCTTAAGGGTAATAGAGTTACAGATGTCCTCTAAAAAGAACGTTCTTTGCAGCAACTTTGCGAATAGTTTTATCCAGCCAACCAATGTTCAACAATAATCTCATCTGACCAGTTCTATGTTCATTTACCAACTTACTTGCTCATATGGAGCCTGATATTATAGGTCGTTCGATGCGTACTTTATCCGAAAGAACTCAAGAACATTACCCGTAGTGGCTAAAAAGAGGCGGAAGCGGCTCAATAAGACGTTCAATAATCGAACACCTTTTGAACATAGGTCACTCAATTAAAGCTGACTCTGCATTCGAAACCATTTGCAGAGCAAGTAGAAGACTGCCAAAGACAGTTATAATGCATTTTCATAGTATTGCTGATGCAATGGCTATACATCTTGAAAAAGTGGAATTATGTTTCCAAAAGAAACTGATAAAACCTCTACCATGGTCTTAATGCCGTAATTTTCTTGCTTCTTCATACTTTTCTACTTTCACAGTCATCTGCTTCCCCTACCTGTCTTCATGATGAATATTCAACCCCTGAACAATGAAACTATTATTAGTTTGCCTGATAAAAATAATGTTTTAGTACCTTTGTTTATTCAACCGTTTCTAGCAGAATTTCATTATCACTATCATCGTTATTAATGTAATTTTTGTCATTCTGGAAAATAAGTATTTATTTATTTATTTGAACATGTAGATATTGGTACAAGGGTCATCAGATACATATGCACTACACAAATATCATTTGATTTGTGTGAGGGCTGTGATACTGCAGGTGGTTTTCTTGGGGGGCCACACTCGAAGCCTTCGACCTAAAGGTCTGGTCCGCAAGGCAGTGGAGCATCGTAAGGAGATGCAGTCCCATGGTAGCCGGTGACCAACGATTGATTCTTACGTCATTTTTTCCCTCAGGATACTGGAGCCCATGTGCACCATTGGTTTGGAATCAGGGTTTTCCAACTCCCCTAGGTGAATTCTCCGTGTCCAACAACCTGGTTAAAGCGCCAGTTATTCGCTTTCCGTACTCTAAGTTTCGTGAACAACACCGCCGCCACGAGAAGGCAGTGAGTAAGACTTCCCTGGCAGAGGCTATATACACGTGGCTATGTGAGAGCATTTGGAGAGGGAGAGCGGACTCTCCTCACTCTCGGCCGTATCAGGGCATTTGGGGTCGAAAAATAAGTATATATTTGCATTTGTACAGCTTTTAAAACAAATTCGCTGAAAAGAGAACTATTCACTGAAACAATCTTTCTTAACTGATTAAAGTTAGAATTGCACACCATCAGATGCCGACTCAATGATTTAGAGGTTAAGCTTTCGCGAACTAGATCCAAGGTCTTGGGTTTAATTCCAGGTTGCAAGGTTGTTGATGCATACTGCTGGGGAGTCCCTTAGTTAGAACGAAACTGAGCAGTTCTTTTTGGTTTTCAAAGGTTGTATAACCCAAATGGTTTCGTTTCATGTTAGTGTTTTTATTAGCAAGATTGGTTTCTGCGGAATTGGATCGCTGATTCCATCACCAACCCTCCCCATTTATTCAGGCTAGGGACCGGCAGTTTCCCTAAAAAGGCTATTTCATTGGAACCAGATTGGCTCATGATTCTAAAGAAATGTTGAAAAGGCTTTTTTCTCTAATTGCACCAAAGGATTTAACGGTTTAATGATCTTTCTGAAGTACATAAAACAGTTTCATCATTAAGTTTCAAGAAAATAACACGATAAACCTTAAAAAACTCACTTAATCCACGTAAAACCGTAATTTTTATCAGGATGAAGACTTGTAACTAAACCTTAATGTTAAGTAGTCGTGAAGCTGTCATATAGAAGCATAGACTGTTGCTAACTAGAAAAGCTCTTAATTTTGACATGAAAAGATCACGATTGTCTCCTTTCTATTGAACTTACTGTAAAATACCTTTGAAACGAAGAAGTAAATGATATAAGGGATAAATTTTCACCAACGTGATTACACCAAAAGCTTGGTATTATCAAATTAACTAACGATCAACTATGCTCAATAAAGCACTTGCATAAAGACAAAACACCTACCATTACATGAACATCTAAAGGAAATACCACGACTATCATGTAAATGTCAGACTGCAACAATAAAGTTCAGGAACACGATCAAAATGAACTCTGTGTAAAAATGGGCGAAACAGTATCTATAGCCAAACTGGACAAATTCAATACTGAAATAATCTTTGTTACAACAGGTGGAACCGATTCTCTTTGACACCAAAAAATTTCAACTTTTTGTTGACTCAATAATAAAAGTTCCAAACACTGGAAGTGATTAAAAATATTCTAAATAGCCAAGGCATGAGTGTGTACATTCACACAAACAGTTTACTTGGTTGATCATTGGTAAAAGACAACGAAACAATGCTTTACAGTCAAAATAAATGTTCAGACCATGACAGGGAAACTTTCGGCAACAACTAATCAAATCAGCTGTTGGTCACTTCCAGAGAAATTTTCATGTCCCATTTCTTTTGAATTTTGTGTTGATATTTTCTGTGAAGACACTGAAGGATTCACATTAAAGTATTCAACTCAAGAAAAGCAATTTCAGTTTTCATCTTAGATTGATATCAACTTGAAAATCTTTGAAATCGGGTGATGTACTAGATAGTCATTCCGCCTCTAATTTTAACTCTTCATCAGTGCACCCCCAGGATTATATACAGAACTTAATCTGGTATCATCAGGTTTGGAGGAGGTCACGTTACATACAAACCATTTTGATGGGATTAAATAGTCCACATTTCCGTTTAGTGGTGTATATGCTCATACTGTTGACAAGTTTCTAACTAGAACTAAGTTACTGTCCATCAGTTGCTGATTTTCAATTGTTTTTTTTCAACTCATCACTCTTACTCTATTCATAGAAAATTACCTTTCAATTTATTTGTTGTTTTTTTCCCATAAAATAACCAGTGTATTAAATACAGATAATATGAGTATTATTGGCTTAACAATTGATTATGGACCATTTGGTTTTATTGATCAGTTCACTTGGGATCATATATCGAATACATCGGATCCAAATGGACGTTATTCATATGCTCAACAACCAAGTGTTTGTGCATGGAATTTAGCTCGTCTAGCTGAATGTTTAATTCAAGCATTAATTGATCAACAGAAATGTTCATCTGATAAAACAACGAATAAAGAATGCATATTTGTTGATAATCTTACAAAAAAATTCACTAATGTTTTGGATACTACATATATGTCTTGTTTTAAAAGTATCTATTTGGAAAGAATGCGTAAAAAGGTAAGTTGATAATCAGTTATATATATGTATATGCATGATTCGAGAAGAAAGAATAAGTTCGTAGAATAGAAGGTTTAAAGTGATTTCAAAGCTCAGAATTTACAGAAAGTTAGGTAGTGAATTGATTTGAGCTGAATGACCACACAAATGTTTAATAGTTGTACGTTTTTACTGTAAACTCTAGCCTATAACCTGAATTTTATAAGAAATCGATTACAATTTCCGAATATCAAGAATTTAGAATCTCTTCGTGTACCACATTCAGTTTGTCCTATCGGTTCCGATATTCCTTCCGTGGACTAGCTTTTCTCATTTACTATTTGAAGCGATTACGAGTTCACCTAGACTGAACAAAGACTCTCTGACCAAAGATCGATAAGCTAGCTGTTCTGACGCGTTCCGCTAACTAAAGAGAGAGGTCCAAGCTGAAGTGGGGAAATATATTCCACAAGCAGACAGAAGCACGAGAAAAAAACAACACGCACAAACCCAACGTACATATACAGCACAAAATTGTCATTGGGAAGCATTACAAAATATCATACTAAAAGATACGACGAACCATTAGCGTTTAAGATTCTCCCAAGTGGGAAATACGACATGAAGGTGAAAATGAGCACCTTTCGCGCGAAAACAAGAAATTCAAATTCTTAAAACAAAATTACCAAGCTATTTACCAAATGAGTAAGTGAGCCTATATATTCTTATTTGTCGTTACCGATGAAACAAAATCTCAAGCTTTTAAAGTTCTTCCAGAATATTTTTGCATTCAATTTGTTTTAGGTTTTAAACCATCTAAAAACATTTATATAAGTTATGTAATCAAAGGCAAACTAAGTTGGAGAAAATAATGAATTAGATACAAGTCCACCTGAAATTAGTGGACAAATTCAACATACATGAATTTGTAAAATCTGATGTAGTTTCGATGTTTTTAATGATATTTTATAGTATAGTCATCAAATCTCTGCACTTATGACATGCAATTCTAAAATCATAGATTCAAGAAAAGCATTCATCTAAGCTAAAAGTCTGTAATTTTAAAATACACTATAAACAGTACAATGGAGCTGGTAAATAAATTGAAAAGTTAATAGAACTTGACAACTCTTTGATATTTTTCATCAACGTACAACCAGAAGTCAACCAAGAATCAATCTACAGATCTCGATGGCTGATATATGGCCAAGCTGATCTTAGTTTGCTACAAACAATCAGAGATTACTTTCCATAGATTATTTAATGAACATGATTACACAGAAGTAAACTAACGTGAAAGTACTAATAAAATAAAGATACTTGTGAAATTGTTATATCTGAGCGAAGATTAAATCACGAGTAACTTCTGAGACATATTAATTGACTAATGTTATCTATACATTCTTATGGTATTACTGTGGTGTGTGCTACTTATATTAACATAAGTAGTATATGATGTTAGTCGTGAACAGAATGTCTGGCAGCAGAGAGACAAGAGGATCGAACAGTAAAGAATGGAAACAGGATGCAATTTGTATGAAAATGCAAGAACAATGAAGTATGAGTCATTTTGAGACAATTGATGGACACTTTGCAAATTAAGCGTTTACTTTATGATTGTTAGATTTTATGAACAAGTCCTGTAATTTTGTGTTGAATACATTCGATTGTCCCCACTGGTGTTCTGTTCACTACGTTACTATTCAATAATTGGATTATGTATATTTATATTCCTCTTATTATAAGCTTTATTTTGACGTATATATTATTATTGTAGGTTCAGTTTATTGACTACTGACTCCCACGTTCACAGCCACTTTTTGGATTTATTGTGCACAAATGTTATTTCGTATTTTATGGTGCGTTGCGGTCTGTTTGATTGATATATAAACCCAGTATGTCTGAAATAAAGTATTCGATTCGATTCTCTTAGTGGGATCTGGTATTGGTGTTCTGGACTCAAGTGGACGGGCTAGACGGACGTAGGACCAATAAGGACGCTAGGCTGCGCATACCGCTCGAACGTCATTAGTTTGGCACAGTGATAAGATTGTATAAGTCGTATTTTGATTGGTGGATGAATCACGTGATAAAAAGCCGGACATAAAGTCACAACAAAAATGGTAGAATATTTATTTCAATCAAAATATACAGGATCATTAGGTCTTTCCGTCTAGCTTAAATATTCCTTAGCTAAACAAAAAAGACCTAATAATTTTGTGATTTTAGATTGAATTAAATATTCTACCTTGTTCCTATATTCTTTTTAAACCTGTGTTAATTTTAATCAGAGAGTAGTTTTGCAGATATTACAGTAGTTTAATAGTTGAATTCACGAGTCAATTGAACCTAGACTACCACCGAAAACCTGGAAGCACTAGATGACGTTTTCGTCTTAGTATGGGACTCCTCAGCAGTCAGTCAGTGACAACGTAGAGCTTCATACTTACGTACATCAGTCCGAGTTGCCATACCACATTAGCACAGAGATGCAGTGGTCGATTCGAATCACACAGTGGTAGAGGTAGTAATAGTATAATCAGTAATCGGAAACATGAGGGTTTGAAGATGTTATTCAAGGAGTATAATCCAGTGAAATAAATTTGGAAAGAGAAAAAAGAAAGGAAAATGAAGAATTCAGAAGATTAGAATTCGGGCGAACACAAAGAGTGGATGCACCTGCGCCATTACAAACGTTTTTGAGCCATGTCACTGAAGTTCTCTCACTATCGGTTGCTATCAGCAGCGATCATCCACGATCCCGCCTAGCGAGATTCCGACCCAGGACCTGTCGGTCTCGCGCGCAAACACGTAACTTCTAGATCACTTAGCCGACTGTCATCCAACGGTGCTAATGTCTAACTCCAACCAATCCTCGAAGTTGCGCCACCATTGTCTTCAGTGAGTTAATATCTCATAGACCCAGTTGAATTCCACTGGTCTTGGCTGAGGAGTCCTATACTAGGACGAAACGGCCATCCGGTGCTTCCATGGTGGTCTAACTCCAATTGACTCATGAATGCAACTGTTAAATTAATGTAATTTGGTTCATTAACTCTGAAGGATGGACTCACACTAGGTCACGAAACCTTAGAAATTCAAATTATTCATTTAAAGTTTGCAAATACATCATTAATTTTTATTATGAACCGTATATTCCATGCTCAATTTACTTGAAATTATCAAGGTAAACCTTGATATTAATAATTACTAATGTAAAATTGAATGATTCAATATATGAATGTGTTATCTTTATTATATTCATTCCCTAGTTAGGTTTGCTTTATGCCAAGGATGAAATAGATACAGAACTTACTCAACACTTATTTGATACTATGGAAATGACTGGTGCTGATTTCACAAATACATTTTTAGCTTTAGAAGATACTTTATCACAAGTTGTATATCAAAATAATGCAGATTTATTAAAACCTGATCTCATTGTTAAAGAATGTTGTAGTTTAAGTCAATTACAAGAAACATTTGAACCGATTAATATGCAATTGTAAGTGTTTCACTTATTCGTCTCTCTTTTTTTTCAAATTTTAAGTACAGCATCATGAATCTTAACTTTAATATACTTGAGTAAATCCAGCTTTCTCCATAGATCTATTCCATATGAGTTATTTGTTGAAGACTGACTAACAATAAACAGAATTCCTAATGAATTGTTTAATTTTATGCATTGAAAAATTTGTTATGGCTATTATTTCCAAGTGACTAAATATTACCATAAAAAATATACAACACTAATATATATATTCTTGTATCACCTGACGTTTACGTTAATGTTTTCAATCTATAAAGACTTTAATCAACGTCTGAACACCAGACATAGTAATATTTGAAGAATTTTTTTGTAGATATTACAGTAATTTCAATAGCTGAGATCATGAGTTAATTGGAGCTACACCACCATGGAGAACCTGGACGCACTGGACGGTCGTTTCGTCCTAATGTGGGACTCCTCAGCAGTTCGCATCCACGATCCCGCCCCGGGAGATTTGAACCCAGGACCTATCGGTCTCGCGCGCAAGCGCCTAATCACTAGACCACTGAGCCGGCTGTCATCCAACGGTGTTAGTGTCTAACTTCAACTAATATATTTTCCATTCTCAGACACTGGCTATATATTTCGATTCATAATATATTTATACGGTTTCGATAAGTAAGTCTAAAAATCAGGTCTTAGTTTCATAAGCTCATGTACGAAGCTCATATCTAATGATTACTGTCATTTCGTATAGAAATATATCATTTTTTCATATAAGACAACTGATGTTTCCATAGCACGTTGTTTTGATTAACTTTATATATATATATATATATATATATATCCCCAAATGCCCTGGTACGACCGAGAGTGGGGAGAGTCCGCTCTCCCTCTCGAAATACTCTCACACGGCCACGCGTATACAGCCTCTGCCAGGGAAGTCCTACTCATTGCCTTCTCGTGGCGGGGGTGTTGTTTACGAAAATGAGAGGACGAAAAGCGAATGTCCGGCGCTTTAACTGGATCCCAAACCAATGGTGCACATGGGCTCCAGTATCCTGCGGGAACAAATGGCGTGTGAATTAATCGTTGGTCACCGGCTACCATGGGACTGCATCTCCTTACGATGTTCCACTTGTTTTTCTTGTGTTTGCAGTTTACGAGTCTTTGTTAGGTTCTCGATAATCATTGACGCTAGTTACAGGATGGTTTTGATCTTTCCTTATATATTGGGATGATCAGTGATTGCGACCAGTCAGATGGGATTACATTCAGTTCCCAGGTTTTATCTAAAATACTAAACTTAATCGCTAAAAGTGGACTATCATACATAAAGACCTTTGGAGTTAATCCATCTTGACCAGCTTCTTTTCCTCGTTTCAGATTAGCTATAGCTTCCTGAACTTCATTAAGAATTTGGGCCTGTTTTAGTGTTCCATTCACGCTGTTTGGGAATGGTGAGTAGTTGTAGAGTAGCTAAAGGCCAGCTGAACTGCTCCATGAAGTGTTCCGCTCACTGTTCTAAACGTCTGAACTGAGAGTAGATAAGAGTCATCTTTTTCCGATATAATCTCACTTACACTTGACTTCTTAATTCCGGTTTCTTTTATCAGTCTGGAAAGCTTGCTTGTGTTACATACAGCGGATGCTTTTTTCATCTTTTTTGCTTTCGTTGCCCACCACTGCTCACGATCGTTGCTTGGACTTTTGGTTACCCTAAATCTGATTTGTTTCCGCTCTTCATCGTGTTTAGAGCCTTATGGGATGAGTTTATGAGAACTTATCTGTGCAACACATGTCGCAGAAATCCACTCATCTCCTCCATTATTAATAATAAATATAAATGATCACCTCTTCTTTCTGATTCCCCTGATGCACTATTTAGATGATAAATAAGTTTTTTAAATCACACGTTCATGCTACTTTAGCGAAGTATTAGGTGCTGTGAAAACTATATGAACTGATGAGAGAACTGAGAAATCTGACTTCTGAAGATTTTCATAGATATTTTAAACAGTGGAAACAGAGTTAGGACAAATGTGTTGCTACCCTAATTTCTATGATGTGAGTTCGTGTATTGATCGAAAAAAGGACGTACAAATCAAGTTGAAATGATTTGGATCTCCTTGTTGTTGATATTTTAAATAAGATTTGGTCAGTCTTGGTTGACATATGTACTTCCTGTGCAGGTACATCCGGCTAACGAGCCTCGGATAAAACGATGCGCGCGTCTTCTTTTCCATTGTTAGCCACATTCCATTTCTTTCGTCGTACAAATCAACATTAATCAGTATCGTTTTCTACTGTTTATCTATTGATCTGAGCCCATAGGTCTAGATTACAATAGTACATATTTGATTTTTAATGGTTCCAAGTTCTAGTAACATCATGCAAATTGAACCTAATGATTACTAATCTCACTGTTTAAATTCACCATACACCAAAAGTGAACAGCTTCATGGTGTACTTCTTTTGACTGCAACCTCACATTGACCTCATTCTCGACAATCAATGAAGTGTTTAAATGAAATATGTATACGAATTAGATTATATCTACTTTTATTCTGACCTATATCGAATATTTACTTCTAACTCTTTCTTTCCTACACTTATCTTAGACATCATCAACTATCTGCAAAATTTACCGGTATTCGTGAAAATATCATAGATCAACTAGAAGAAACGAAAATTTTGAAAAGTAAAGAGAAAGAAAAACTATACAAAGAACTAGAGGTAAATAGAAGTACATTCTTTAGCTGATGGTGATGAAGCGGGGTATTTTATAACACATTTAACAAATACGATTTTATTTACTTAGCTTTCATTCAAATTGTGAGGTAGTCTACAGGAAACCCTAAACTTAGCTTTCATGCTACTTGCACTCATCAGCACCGCGTACCTGTAATCGTGAAGCAATTGGTCCTCCCTGACAGATTCGATCTTGTGTCACCCAGCTTAACGGTTAGAGACGTTACCTCTCAGCTTTCCTGGCTGCAACTGACCTGTAGGACCTACATATTTGCAACTGATTGGATCAAAATGTTTGTTTTTAGGACCAGTTCAAACCAAGCAAGATTGAATGTGATTTGCATACTAGTTAAAGTTTGAGAAATTCCTATGTTGTAATTTAGAACAATATTGTTTTCGATTAGATCTTCATCAGGATTTACTCTAACATACAGTAATGTATTTATATGCATATACGAAATGATTAAAACAAATGAGTTTAAAACCAGCTTATCAAAGAAATTATTGTGTTCATTATAAAATTTACCTGGATTTCGTAAATTCTTCCTCGAACCTTTTGTACTGTAAAAACATACCTTCCATATTTAGACAAAATTTTACATATTTGTGCAGCCTATTTTTGTGGTTCGTTCATTACGGGGGGAAATATACTGTATATATTAATTATTACGATTAATGTAAATAAACAATACAACTGTCTAAGACTACTAAATAGATTTACAAACTGAGTTGTAAATCTTGTTGACGTCTTTATTATTGTTGGGGACGTTAGATCCCCAGACCTCGTGAAGAAACCTAATTTTGTAATTTTATTTAAAAAATTTGAGTTTCTTTGTTTTCGTGCCAAAGGCGCTCTTGTCACCTTCTTGTCGTATTTCCCACTCGGAAATATCTTGAATGCTATTGGTCCGCTGTGTCATTTAGTATGCTATTTGGTAATTCTCCCCATGGACGGTTTTGCACTGTATATATAGGTTTGAATTGTGTTTGTTGTTATCGCTCGTCTCTGGGTTTTTTTCGCAGAATATACTTTCCATTACAAGCTTGGACTTCTTCCTCTAATTAGAGGGGCTGGGACGCATCAGTAGCTAGCTTACTGGTCTTTGGTCACCGAGTCTTGTTTTTCGTTCGCAGATTAAGTGAATTTGTGATGGCTTCAAACCAAGCAATTATTGACTTAAGTTGCCTATTATAAAAATAAATAAAAAACTGTTGGACATTTAGTTAAAGTTTTTACACTCCCATGTAGTAGGTAAAGTATGGACGTGTGATTTAAAAAACTTATTTATCATCAGAATAATAGAAAGTGATAATAACTCATTTTTAATTTTAAACAAATACAGTCATAACAAAAAACACATAGTTTACCTTCATTATTTTTTTTCTTTTACAATCCGATGAGGCCAGTCAGTCAGCTACAACGTAGGACCGGGCACATATATGCATCGGTCCAAGTTGTCATACCTCATTAACACAACAAGATGAACACTGGATTCATAAAAGTAGTTAATTCATTTGTGGTAATATATAAAAGAAAGATTGTGTATAAGGATATAGTACAGGAAGAAAGAATTAGTTTGTAGAAAGAATGATATGAAGCGATTTTAATCTCTTAGTTTAAGGGAAGACAGAGAGTTTATACACCGACACCATTGTGGTATGGTTGCCGGCATCCGACGGGGTTAGTGCTACTTTGACAATATATCTACTTTTATACTTGTACAGTAGAATAATTATGTGTATTTATTTAACTATCGTCATCTGAAATGTGGTTGTTTCAATAAGACAGCACTTTAGTTGTCCGCCGACTGTAATACACACTACTTAGTGTTGACGTGAACTGTACATAGTCATTTTGTAATACATAGAATATTTTACGAAGTAGTATTTTTCTATCTTCTATTTAGCATATGACAGAACAAGAATACCAAGAGAGAAATAAACGTCTATGGTCTATTTGGTTACAAGCATACAAAGTACGTTTAGAAATTGATTTCGAAGGGAATCATGATAATGCCAAAACACAATTCTCTGAACGTTTAAATTTAATGCAGTCTGTAAATCCTCGAGTAGTTCTACGCAATTATCTTGCCGAAGAAGCTATTAAATCAGCTGATAAAGGAGATTATACAGTTGCACAACAATTATTCAACTCATTGACCACACCTTTTAAAAATCCTGATATGTCATTGAATAACGAGGTGAGTAGTAAAGATGCCAATTTACGTTTACTTGTTTTTAATCGAATTTTTCATCCATTCATCAAAATACCATTGATTTCAATTGATCACGGTAAAAACCAATGTCAATTTTTCCTGGCTCTTAGTGCGAATCAAGTTATTTTTAAACCAGTTCGCAATGTTGTCACTCGTTTAAATGACACGATATCGAATGTTCTGTATTTTGACGTTGTATGTTTAGCAGTAGTCAGTATGGAAATCTGCATCACGAAGAATATTAAGACAATAGTAGTTTTAGTGTCTGTAACAGTAAAAATACATTTGACATAAACAATGATTTATGAGAGGCAATAATAAATTCACTAGAAGGTATAAAATTGTTTCGAAACTCTGAATCTAAGAGAAGACAAAGTAGTGAATGTATCTGCATTGTTGCTATTGGTTACTGGTTATATCACCTAACGCCTCAATTGGTCGATTTTCCACTTGTAGAATAATCTTTAAGTGTTTAGTTCTATTTAAACTAGCCGTTGATTATCCTGAATGATAACCAAAATTCTGCAATTAAACTACCACAACCTGGACTCCACCGCCTATAAAATTATGATCGTGAAACATAAGTCTCTGTCATCCCATAGCTAAATAGATTTATTTACTAGCCATATCATTTAAAATCTTACAAATATTACCAAATCATGTACATTTATATAACGCGGTATTATTTTACTTCCGGAAAATATCTTTCTTTTTTGTAGTCTTTTCATCTTGTATCCCGGATTAAATATCGTCCTCCTGATTGGTCTCGTAAACTACGTGTTTCTTGTTCATCTTAACAGATAATAACATGTAAGCTTTGAAAATAAATATCCATCCATAGTGTATTTTAATATCTTGCTTCAATTTACGATACTCCCAGATGTTCAACAATTTGGTTTTAAATTTCATTACCAAATACATCAAAAACACTAAATATTATACCTTTGTTTTACTATCACTCATTTGTGTCAAGTTGCTGTGTTGTTTAGGAACTGTATTTTGTTAGTTGACCTCCGATTCTGTTGTGCTTCCAAAAAGAAAAGAATATGTTCTTGATTTGTGTTGATGTTTATGTGATCAGGCCGTTACTACAAAATTAGTTGTACTATCTAGTTTGTTAATTGATTAGTTTGTCTCCGAAGGATTGCTGACATTCAGTGGCAACACCATGTCAGTAATGCAGAGGTTCGGCATCGTGTGTTCGGGCACAGAGATGATAACTCAATTGGTGTCACCATCTTGAAACACCGACTTCGGTGGCTTGGACATGTTCTCCGAATGTCGTCACAGAGAATTCCACGTCGTGCATTATTTGCCGACTCTGGGACTGGTTGGAAGAAGCGGAGAGGTGGTCAGTGCATGACATGGTGTCGTGGCATGAAAGAAAGCTGCAAATGACTGGCTTGTGTTGGTCCTTCACGACTCCCTGGCTGGGGTCCGAGAGATGGTGTTACACAGTGGCTAGAGACGTTATCAGATATGGCTCAGAATAGAAGCCAGTGGCGATCCTGCTGTAACCTTCTTTTACTTTCTTCATAAAAAGTGGTTGTGTCTCCTTTACCTGAAAGATTTCTTCTGATTGTACCTTTTCGTTCCGTCGTTACTACCACATTACCTTACTCCAATCTCTTCGTCATTACTCTCTCTTTCTTTTGCGTTCCTTAGTTTTTTTTGTTTTTTTCTTTCTTTCTTTCTATCTCTCTTCGAATTCTCATTGTTTTGTGTGGCGCATATATATTGGCGCTCTCTTGTTCCAATATTTATGTGTTCAAATAAATAATAATAATAATAAGTTTGTCCATATTTGTTTTAAGACCAGTGACCTTCTTCATCAAATTGTATAACAACTAATAAACAATAATCAATAACATAACACCTAGTGTCCTAATGGGAAAGTGAGAATGAAAAGTAAATCGATTCTCTCTTCACACTCAAAAAGTTTACTATACTAAACACTTGAAGTACTTGATTGCTTTAATTCTTGTCCACTACATATTCTTCTACTCTCTTCTCAATTTGACATGACAGCATTCATGTACCCTGCATATTTTTGTACTACCGACACGTCGCCAAACACCGGTCAAGGCGCATTCACATGAGCTCATTTGACCCTGAGGATTTCATAACGCCTGTATCAGTAATGAGTCCTCCAGCTAATTGGTTACTCTATTCGTTAATAGTAGTGACTATTGTAGGTAGCTTATGAATTACAATGATGAAAAACCAGTTTCTTTTCGATTTAAAACAATTCAGTAACTTGATGTATATCTAGTTGCTCTCGACCAAGTGTGCTTCATCACGTTTGCCTTGAATTTGCCCATGTTGAAAAAATAAGTCCCATTGACATCTAGAGCAGTTATTGTTAGTATCTTGTTCATATCATTCAATATGTCGCGTGATGGTTGCATCGAAACGGAGATACTATCTCATTGAATCAAGACCATTCCAAGACTGTGTTGGCGATCTCGTGTTATCGACAGAATACTGAGATCGTACCAGGATACAAGTGTGGTTGCTGAGCGTAACCGAATTCGTGAAAGGTCACAATCAACGGAAGAATGTATGTACGTTGGTACCGTTAAACAATCCCTGGTAAAATTTGTTATAATAATTGTTTCCATTACACCAATCGCGTTCTCTTGATAAAAGTAGGTCACTACATCTGTTCAGGGAAATCTGATGAAAGTTATTTCTACCCAGTGTTTTGTAATTAGTCATTGGATTAAAAGGCTGAAATGTTGAGAGTGTGTTTAGTTTCTGCTTATTATAATTATTACTAACCGCAAAACTTACGCATAAGTGTTGTGAAAGAACCTCTTGGGGTGTTGTCATAAATGCATTTATACACGAGAATTTCAACAGTGTTTACATAATATCTACAATATCTTAACTCGTTCTGCAATGTTTAGATGATTATTGACTTCATGTCATATTGTTTTAATTAATCTTTGTGAAAGTGAATCGTAATAAGTAGTATTATTTGCATGAATAAACCACTTCACTCCATCAAAAAACAGAAAATGTCTCTTGTACTAAGACAGTGAGCACACGTCATTATCAAAAAAGGAAGAGTAACGGGGCAACCATATTTCCTTGCATAGACTTAGAGTATCGAGATTCAAAGCGGACGATTTGCCTACGTTCTGTTACAGAGGTTTGGACCAGCATAACAGGAAATCTCACACACCAAATGAGGACATTTCATGAGGGTTGTGTGAGACTATCGAGGATCTTACTAAAATCAAAGTATAGAACCATCACTGACGTATCTTTGTTGTCCATTTGATCAAAATGTTCTAAGTGAGAATTGGAGTAGGAGCGTTCTGTCATATATTCATGTTTAGAAAGGGTAATAAAGCCTTCAGTAGGCAAGATTGGTAATAGCCGTTTGTATATAATTTTTGATCACACGGCGGTCACGTTAATAAGCCCATAGCTTGCGATAACGCTAATTGATCCCGTTTTGAATCCGAAAGCATAAAGAGATGCTTTCCACACGAACTGATAGACTCCATAGTCGACACATCAGTTTGTCAGTCCAAGGCAAAATAATGAGGATTCCTTACTGCCATACACCAAGAGCCATCTCGAAATACTATCAGCTTTTTCGGGGTAGTTATAGCCTGAGTGTATGTAATTGACTAGGCACAGATGTCAAAATTGTAAATATGTTGGTAGAGGTTTCCGTCTCTGTATTATGACACTGTGAGATACGATATTTGGAATGTTCACAATACCATGATGGTCGTCCACAAGATTACTGTTAGTTCAAAGAGCATGATTGTACCGAAGTAAGCCAATTTTATGGCGGTATTTAAAAAGCCAGCGTGTGGAAATATCTGAGGGTTTCTCTACCCAAAACCGAACTGTTTATAGTCAAGAGTTACTTGCATCGAGATGATTTATTTCTGAAACATATACAAGTCGTGGTGCTTGCGGAAACGGTACGTTAGTCTCCTCAGATTTACCTTGGAGGTAAATGACACGTTCGACATCTGTAGTAATACAATCATTTAGACGAAAAACAGTCAGTCAATTATTTAACTGAGTCATTAATCATTAAGTTAAGCAAAATATTTAATGTTACACTTGAGGAACGTACTTCGAGTATTTTATCGCGGCTATTGTATTCCTCACTCAAGGATTCTGAATCCATTATTGATCTTTCATATTGGAAACCTGAATAATACAATCGGTTATTATTCACACTCAAAACTAAACAAACCGTTGAAATAGCTTTTTGTTTGTCATCTTCACTGCTCCACGATCCTTGAGACAATAATTCAGTCAATTTGCGCTTCATTTCGTCAAACATTTGAATCACCTATTGCGTACAAACAGACATAACGATCAAAGTGACGAAATAAACGATGCACGTTATCAGAGATCATACGTATTTTATTACATAACTGTAAAGTAGTTAGGGACATAATAAATACCGGAAGAATTGATTTACACTCTTTCCCATTATTCAGCATATCTCATAATTCTTCCAGTTGTTGATTAACACAGACTTAGTTGAACCATCCAATCCAGTTTATGTTCACAGAGAAAATTCAATTTTCAAACTACGCCTTACATTATTTGCTGGTTTCTTCAACACAATATGTAAATCGTGTCATTGTAATAACCTGTCATATTTCCAATTATAAACAATAGGGAAATGAGAAATTATTGAAATCGGAACTCACTTCATCTATCGTACTCCTACTTATACTAGAATATTGTCCACCAGAAATTCTCCTTCAATTGCTGAATGCAACTTGGTGGCTTTTCATCTGAAATGTTTATTGAAATACATCAACATGTTGTTACACATAGTTCAAGTTATAAACAGATAACTTTCAACAATATTAATCATAATTAATTGAAAGGAACACAACCCATTTCATTCTCAGATCATATGGATCATGGTGTTCATAATTCGTCTACTGTGTTTGTATATTTCTATTACCGATAAAGTATGAAACGACAAACAACGTCATGACTTTCAGTTGAATTATATTTTATCGTTCAAATCATGTGTAAAACCAAATAAACATGAGCAGTGAGGAACAATGTGACTGAAGTATAAGATTTGACGCTTTAAGAAATCTCACTGTGCATTAAGTGTGGATAAGTTAAGCTAATTTATCTGCAAATTTAATTACTGGCTACTTGATCAGTTCTCCCAATTACTCTGTCCAGATTTGTTTTCCGGCGTGTATTCATATAAAGTCGACACATATCTTGTTGGATGTATCACCAAATAACAAAACATCGTTTGTGTTTATTTGTCTTCTCTCTATTTTAAAACTTTGTTCAGAGATAAGGCGATCAGCCTAGAAAACGTCCATGAATAATTATGTTTATGTAACTAGCAATGGTACTTACCAATATCTGAAGGATAAAAATCTTCGACATATTTCTTCAAGTAAGGTCGCATTTTGTACAAGAAATCTATCACTAACATATTGTGTATACTTCTGCAGGAAAAATTACAAAATCCATGTACTTCACTCATGTACAAATGGCATTTAATTTAAAATCAACAGTGATTGTGGTTCCTAAGAGTCGATGTTGATATAGTTCAACATCTAGGTTTATCAGAGAGACGTGACATATAATGAACACAATAAACACTCTTCATATATTTCTTTGTCCGTATTTTTGATGAGAACTCGACTGATATAATATTCTTTTGTATACTCTCTTTATATAAAATCTCAGCGTCAATCTCAATATCTGACGCTTACGTACAATCTGTTCATAGAGGATTTTAGAGAAGATGTGACAATTGAGCGGCTACAACAAATGGGGCTACTGAGACTTTCCTTTATTTATAATTGGGTAATCAAATGACATATGGACTTTGTGCAGACTAACATGATGATGTTGTCTTCCGATGTAATATATGTTGAAGGAAGAAGTCTGATAGAATAGGAACTATTTTGCTCGATCCAGACTGAGACTAAGGCAAGCCATCATAGTTGTTGCGAATCGTATAACAAAGGCTGCAACATTTGTAAATGTTACTGAAGTTTCTGCTGTTCGGCGGTATGAGTATTCTAGAAATATATACGTGATAACAATGTCAAGCTTACACAACCGGACTGCACACAAATAATATTGAAGCTATGTGGTCGAGGCTGACAGAGTTTTACAATCACATCACGGCTTCAACACTCGACAATTATGGAGCCATGTGGATGAGTTCCTCAACCGTATGCATGACAATTTTGGAACATCTGACCCACTTTCTAGCCTAGACAAGTTTTTGAACCATGTTCAAGCAGTGTATCCTTAATAATTCTTTGGATTTGCATACTGTAATTTTACTCTGCACTAACTGTTTTCTGATTGACCAATATACTTCAGGGTAACTAAAGATTCGTTCAATGATCGCCCATTAATTATACTTTCGCCCATTTCATGAATATCAGGAGAGCATGATACATCAAGGGCCTTCGATTTAGAAATGTCATTTGGAATTTGGATAGACTCAGAGGAAACATTGTTAGAAAATACCTCATTTGATAATTTATTCAAGATATCAACCTGCTCAATCCAGTCTAATCCTAATAGATCTAAATCGTGCCGATTTGTAAGATAACAAACATCCGTGAATTTATTTTTCATGGATTGAACGTTGCATATGAGTTCTCTTGTCAGCTTCACTATATCTCCTGAAGCATTACGAGCAACATGTTCCATTGGTCGGATCCGTGGGCATCCTAACTTATGCCATGTGTTCTTGGCGATCAATATAACATCGGAAGCAGTGTCCAATTGAAGGCGTATAGGTTTTTCATTTACTAATAAGTTAACGTAGTTCTGCTTATTTTTAACTACAACTTTGAAGGTTGCGAACGTGTTTTTAATTTGACTTTGTGATGGTTGTTTCGAATTTCCACTACGATACTGTTACTGAACGACTCAATTGTAGGAATGCGACCCTTGCTTTGCCAATCCATGAATCCACATCTGTACTAGATACTCCATGTTCATCGATGATGCTTCGTGAAGCATTCTACATCTCCCAGAGTTTCGCCATCAAGTGTGATTGTATTGGTGTTCTCCGTGTTGTATATGAGGACCTTGGTTTTCCTCTTGTGTATTTTGTGGCCTACTGATGCAGAGACTGCTGCTAAACTGGCTGTCTTTATCTGCATTTTCTCATATGTATGAGAAAGGAGGGATAGGTCATCTGCAAAGTCCGAATCGTCTAATTGGTTCTGAGCTGTCCATTGTATTCCGTGTTTTCCCTCAGATGTCGAGGTCTTCATAATCCAGTCGACCACCAGAAGAAAGAGGAAGAAGGAGAGTAGGCAGCCTTGTCTGACTCCGTTCCTTATTTGGAATGCATCTGTCAGCTGACCGTGCACGGCTTTGCACTGTAGTCCGTCGTATGAGTTCCGGATAATGTTGACAATCTTTTCAGGAACTCCGTAGTGTCAAAGAAGTTTCCATAATTTGCTGCTATCCACACTGTCAAACGCCTTTTCATAATCAGTGAATTTGATGTATAGTGACGAGTTCACTCAACTGATTGTTCGACGATGATCGTAGTGTTGCAATTGGTCTGTGCACGTTCGATCCTTACGAAACCCAGCTTGTTGATCTGAAACTTGGGCATCTACTTCGTCTTTCATCCGACTCAGCAACACTGTGTTGAAGACTTTCCTTAGTACTGACAGTAGTTTGATGTCTCTGTAGTTTTCACATTTACTCAGGTCTCATTTCTTTGGAATCTTGATGAAGTGTCCTTCTTTCCAGTCCATCGGCACTTGTTCCTCGTCCCAAATCTTTTTGAATAGAAGGTAAAGCATGTTTGTAGTTACTTCGATGTCTGATTTCAGTGCTTCAACTGGTATGTTGTCGGGTTCTGCTGCTTTCCCGCTCTTGATTTGTCTGATGACCATTCTGATTTCTTCAGTCGTTGTTGGAGTGACATTGATAGAAAGGTCTGTATAGAGGAACTAAACTTAGTCAAAATTCTAGGTCGAAATTTTTCAAAACCTGCTTTTATTCATATAGGGACTTGTGGAGATTGTGATATTTTCACATTATAAATTAATAAACGATTTAAACTAAATCAATATTACAAACCTGAAAGCACTGGAAAGTTGATTCATTCTAGTGTGGGCCCCTTATCAGTGCGCACACATGATCGCGCACGCGGGATTCGATCTCAAGACACTTAGTCTCACGTATGTGTTATTAAGCTTTTATTTATGGTCTAGCTCTGGTCAACTCATGATTTTAACAATGAAAATAAACGTTTTTACTTTATACTTCCATTAGTTAACTAATTATGATCAATAACCGTGTATAATTACTGGCTTTCATCAAATGCAGGATCTTCAATCTCGCTCCTGGAAGCTTATGTTCTAAACTACAGAGTCGGCAACTGAATTGTTAATGTCTAACTTCAACAAGTTTGCAATGTTGCACTTAGTGGTTAAACGTTCGTGAATGAGACCGAATGCACTAGTCCGACTCCCGGATGCTGGGTTGCAGACGTGGTCGTCTAAGGAGTCCAGTACTAGGATGAGACGTTCATCGAATACTTCGAGATCTCCGATAATGATTTACCTAAGATCCACGAACCTCCCTACCCAGTTGTTAATATTTAGGATTGAAAGTGAAAGTGCTAGTGTTAAACTTACTAAATGTTTGATTCTGTCTCTTAAAATTGTATATATCTAGCAAATCGGCACTATCCCCAAATCCTAACCATAAACCCTTAATATATTCATGGTTTTATAGAAGAAATAGCCCCACATTTTTGATCAAAGTTCATCCATATGATCGGAAAGCATTTTCACGTCATAGCTGATGTCAGTTCGTGATGAGAATCCTAGCCCTAGATCCCCAATCCTTATCCTAAATACCTAACAGTAACTAAGAACAATGTGAAGACTTTCGAAAATCTATTTAGGCCATTTTAAGGGTTACAGAATATGTAAAATCTATATTCATTAGGACGAGCTTACATGTCGTTCTTTTCGATTTACAGACAGAGTAACATGTAAAAAACATTAATACGTTTATTAGTTGTACAAAAAAAAATAAGTTTACATTTGGCAAAACTATCCATTTGTCAAAGTCGTTTTCTGATTAGCTAGAAACCGTCTGGAAATTCATCACAGATGTTTTAAGCTTACCCCTGTAGTACACTTACTCCATGATTTTCTTATTTAGCTAATTGATATTTTGATTTGATAAAAGTTATTTCGATACCAGTTGGATCTTTTTCTTTGATTTTCTTCTCTTCTTTTTTTAATGATTGTTAATTGATAATCAGTCAGTCGGTTATACCCAACGTAGAACCTCACACACTTATTCATAGGTTCAAGTTATATTCTAATAATAATTTTCAGGGAGAATTCTAGAGTAGTAGAGGTAGTAACAGTATTAGTGGTAATACAAATGATTGTGTATTGAAGATACAATTTGAGGGAAAAAAAACTTCAAATTGATGACTAATTAGATAAAATATCCAGTGATTATTTGTTTTATATTAGATTCCTCAAAGTGTATTTCGCGTTCTTGGTTTGTCCGCCCACTGGTCTATGCATAATTAGCAGGAAGAGATAATGTCATCTCAATCTAGTTTATGACCATGACATGTTAGGTTACTTAGTACAACCTTGAAGCTTATAATTCGTAATTTTCAATTTCTTCTAGATTTAACTAATGTATAAAGGTACACAAATAAATGCATGAATAACAAGACCTCGACGCATATGAAATGAGAAAAGTACAGTTGTATTCAAGCTAGAACATCACTTACTTGCTTACGCCTGTTACTCCGAATGGAGCATAGACCGCCGAATAGCATTCTACAACTCACTCTCTCGTGGGCCTTCCATTTTAGTTCTGTCAAATTGTTAATTGTCCTTTTCATTTCTGTCTGCCTCCGTTTCTCAGCGTAATCTGTTTTTTGGCATTCATCTTTCCTTTTGCCCTTGAGGATTCCTTGTGAGGGTTTGCCATGTGACGCAGTTGGGTGCTTTCCTCAATGTGTGTCCTATCCACTTCCAGCGTTTCTTTCTGATTCCTTATTCCATTGGGATCTGGTTTGTTCTCTCCCACAGTACGTTGTTGCTAATAGTGTCCGGCCGATGGATCTGAAGTATTTTGCGTAGACAATTGTTAATAAACACCTGTATTTTCTGGATGATGGCTTTCGTAGTTCTCCAGGTTTCTGCCCCATATAGTAGAACTGTCTTGCCATTTGTATTGAAAATCCTGACCTTGGTTTTGGTTGACAGTTGCTTTGAGTTCCAGATGTTCCTCAGTTGTAAATATGCTGCTCTTGCTTTGCCAATCCGCGCCTTCACATCTGCATCAGATCCACCGTGTTCATCAATGATGCTGCCCAGATATGTAAAGGTTTTTACATCTCCCAAATCTTCTCTGTCAAGTGTGATTAGATTGGTACATGCTGTGTTGTATCAGAGAATCTTTCTTTTCGCTTTATGTATATTGAGACCTACTACTGCTTAGGATGCTGCTACGCTGGTCGTCTTCTCCTGCATTTGTTGTTGCGTGTGCGATAGAAGAGCCAGATCATCTGTGAAGTCTAGATCTTCCAGCTGCATCCCAGATGTTCACTATTTTCCATGCTTCTTCTCAGATTTTGACATCTTCATAGTCAAGTCTATCAGCAGGAGGAAGAGAAAGGGTGAGAGTAAGCAACCTTGTCTGACACCAGTCTTTACTTCGAACGAGTTTGTCACCTGTTTTCCATGCACGATTTTGCAGTTTAATCTAACATACAAATTTCGTATGATATTGACTAACTCGCTATAAGATACGCTAACCAGAAGCTCGAACAATAAAGTATGAGAAATTGAATTACGTGGGTCATGTTTAAATTACAGTAATTTTTTCGAATAAAAAAAGAATATAACTGTAATTTATGCATTTAAACGAAAGTTTATGGTTCATAGAAAACTTAACAGATTTCCAATTAAGTCATACACTGTCTCACAAAAACAGCTTTTGTTGTTTATCATTGCTTTGTTATTTCTCTTTCCATATCAACGAATAAAAGTAAAAAACCCAGATCAAATTGTTTTATAAATAACAAATAAGAAATATTGAGATTTCACTTCACGATTGACTTTCATCACTCATTGAAATAGTAGCTTGACATTTAAGCGATTTAACTTTTAACTACCATGTAATCCATAGTTCGAATGGCATACTAGATTTACATTGGTATGAGACAATTGTACAATATCACTAGCCTTACTTTACTTACTTACGCCTGTTACTCCGAATGGAGCATAGGCCGCCGACCAGCATTTTCCAACCCACTCTGTCCTGGGCCTTCTTTTCTAGTTCCATCCAATTCTTGTCCATTCTTCTCATGTCTATCTCCATTTCTCGGCGTAATGTGTTCTTTGGTCTTCCTCTTCTCCTTGGGCCTTGAGGATTCCGTGTGAGGGCTTGTCTTGTAACGCAGTTGGGTGCTTTCCTCAATGTGTGTCCTATCCACTTCCAGCGTTTCTTTCTGATTCCTTATTCCATTGGGATCTGGTTTGTTCTCTCCCACAGTACGTTGTTGCTAATAGTGTCCGGCCGATGGATCTGAAGTATTTTGCGTAGACAATTGTTAATAAACACCTGTATTTTCTGGATGATGGCTTTCGTAGTTCTCCAGGTTTCTGCCCCATATAGTAGAACTGTCTTGCCATTTGTATTGAAAATCCTGACCTTGGTTTTGGTTGACAGTTGCTTTGAGTTCCAGATGTTCCTCAGTTGTAAATATGCTGCTCTTGCTTTGCCAATCCGCGCCTTCACATCTGCATCAGATCCACCGTGTTCATCAATGATGCTGCCCAGATATGTAAAGGATTTACGTCTCCCAAATCTTCTCAGTCAATTGTCACTGGATTGGTGCGTGCTGTGTATGCCTGGTATTCAGAGAAGAGTGATGCCCCTGTAGTTATCACAGATGCTGAGATCGCCTTTCTTCGGTATTTTGATCAGACGTCCTTCTTTCCAGTCTTTTGGTACTTGTTCCTCATCCCAAATCTTATTGAAGAGAATGTGGAGTATCCTTGCAGCTGCCGCTGCGGCTGCTTCTAGTGCCTCTGCTGGGATTTTGTCCGGTCCTGCTGCTTTGCCACTCTTGATTTGTCTGATGGCCATGCTTATCTCTTCAATTGTTGGTTGGCCAACATTGAGTGGGAGGTCCGTGGATGCTGCTTCGATGTTGGGTGGGTTCAGTGAAGCTGGTCGTTTCAAGAGTTCTTTGAAGCGTTCTACCCACCTGTTTTGTTGCTCTTCAATGTTGGTGATTACTTCGCCTTTCTTGCTTTTCACTGGTCGTTCAGGTTTGCGGCGATTTCCAGAGAGTTTCTTTGTCGTGTCATATAATTGTCTCATGTTTCCTTCTCTTGCAGCCTTTTCTGTCGTCATTGCTAAATCTTCCACATATTTACATTTGTCGGTTCTGATGCTCCTCCTCACTTGTTTGTTTATTTCCGTGTATTCAGCTTGTGTCTTGGCTTTTTCTGCTATTGTTCGACTGGTATTGATTGCTGCCTTCTTGTTCCTTCTTTCTTGAATCTTATCCAGTGTACCAACAGTGATCCATTCCTTGTGGTGGTGCTTCTTGTGACCCAGGACCTCATGACATGTTGAAGTGATTGCCTCTTTGATCCTCTTCCAGTTGCTCTCCACAGTAGTTCTTTCTCCATTGAGTGGATCATGAAAGGCCTGGAACTTGTTGCTGAGGACTATCTTGAATTTGTTGAGTTTGTTAGTATCCTGAAGAAAGGCCGTATTGAACTTTTGTGATATTGTCCGCCCCGTTGTCCAGTGTTTCTTGAGTTTCAATTTCATCTTGGCGACCAGCAAGTGATGATCTGATGCTATATCAGCTCCTCTCTTGGTTCTCACGTCCTCTATAGTCCTCCTGAACGTTTTGTTGATGCAAATATGGTCGATTTGGTTTTGCGTGGTGTGATCAGGTGAAGTCCATGTGGCTTTGTGAATGCGTTTATGTGGGAATATAGTGCCGCCAATGACCAGTTTATTGAAGGCACATAGGTTTGCAAATCTCTCACCATTTTTGTTCCTTTCTCCCAGTCCGTGTCGTCCCATGATGTTTTCATATCTAGTGTTGTCCGTTCCAACCTTGACATTGAAATCTCCCATCAGAATGGTCAGGTCCTTTGTTGGGCACTTCTCGATGATTGACTGCAGCCTATTGTAGAATTGATCTTTAGCGTCTTCATTGTAGTCGTTGGTAGGTGCATAGCATTGGATGATGTTTATTGAAATACCCTCTTTCTTTGTTTTGAACGAGGCTTTGATGATCCTTGGTCCATGAAATTCCCATCCTATAAGCGCATTTTGTGCTTGTTTGGACAGCATCAATGCAACTCCTTGTGTATGTGGTGCATTTTCTTCTTCATGGCCGGAGTATAACAGTAGCTCTCCTGTAGTTAGTCGTTGTTGTCCAACTTGTAACCAATGTGTTTCACTGATCCCAAGTACCTCTAGTCTGTATCTTCTCATTTCTGCAGCAATTTGGAAGGCTCCCCCGGTGTCCCACATTGTACGAACATTCCATGTACCTAAATAAATGGTCGCTCAGGTTGTCAGAAGGGGCATCGGCCTCGTAACTTATATTTTCCTCACAATTTCAAACTGCGAAGCAGCATCAATGGCTATCTCCAAAAGCTCCGTACTTGACCGTTCCATGTTTCTAAGAAACATGCAAAAAAGATCATCTTCTCCATTATTAGTAATAATAAGAAAACGTACCACTAATTTCGATAAGTTTTTCTTCAACTTTTCTTATGTTTGATTTTATCTCTTCTACTTGTGCATAAATAGTCGTATAAAATTCGCTTCTACTTTCTGCAGAGGATTCAGCATTGCTATATAGTTTTATTTTTAAGTAATTGTTGTCATACCTCATCATGAATTGAAGAACGCGTTTACACCTAACCCTTTTTAAAAGAGGCACAAAAAATGGTCCAAATACTTCAATTGGTTCAAATGCTTGTGGACGGAATAGAAGAAGCTTTCGCTTAACAGGCTTCCGTGTCTAGTAGCAGGGGATCACCAAATCCTCTAGGCAGGATCCTAGGTATGTTAACAATAAAACAGGAAACGAAATTGGTAAATCATAGTGTGATGCTGTCCTTGATCCTTAAAAATAGATCAAGTTGCTCTTGAAGGACTCCTGAGAAGTCGCTTACACTAGTTCAGTAGGCAGTGAATTCCAGTATTTGACAACTCTTAGGGAGTAGAGGTTGTGTCAACATTCCGTCTTGCTATATAGTGTATCCAGTTTCTGGGTGTTACACCTTAGGTTTGTATTGGGACTAAGCCTAGGTAGATTTTTAGGGGATGTCCAGAAGTGTTAAGGATACTGTCAGCCATTAGAAAGTCACCTCTAAGACGCCTATATTCTAATGGGTAAAGGTCTAGTGAATGGAGGCGTTCTTCGTAAGGTTTAGATTTGAGTCCTCGAACTGATTTCCTGGCTCGCCGTTGGATACGCTCCAAAGTGACCTTGTCCATTTGGAGTGATGGGGGAGTACTATGTTTCCGTACTGTATATGGGGATGAATAAAACTGTTGAAGGTTATGTGGAAAGTTCTTCCGTCAAACTGTCCAAAAATGCGCTTCAACGTTACCAGTGCAAGGTTTGCTCGAAAGGGATTTCTGTCACAGTTAGCGTAGGACTTCAAATCACAGGGTGAGAGGACTCATATATCTTTTTCGACTCAGAATACTTCTAGAGAGGAGTCACTTAAGCTGTAACTGTAGTGTATAACATGTCGCGGATGGACTACTTTACACTTTGAAATGTTGAAGGTAAGTCCGTTGTCGCCTGCTCAAGTTTGAAGTCGAGTCGGATCCTCCTGAAGTGCCTGTATATCGTCTTTGTAGTTATATGTCGCTCAAACGAGCTAAGTAAAACAAGCATAGATATTGCTTAGTGTGAACTGCTGTTCTATGTACTTAGAAGTGGATCATGCTTCTCCAGGAAGGACTTCGGGGAAGTTGCTTTACCAGTGAATTATCACTTAACTCCAGATAAGATACTAATTCAGCATCCCACGTTCTATTCTCAGAGACTAGTCAATATTCGTTTAGCCGTTTAGTAAACAATGTCACGATCACTGTTACAGGAGGACTGAAAACATTTGGCTGATTAAAAACGTTTAAAATAAAAATTTATGATTTTACCGTATTTTTGGATGTATTCGTTTTACTCGACTTTTGAACTTGTTTGTTCATATGTGTAGAGACATACTTTTATCAAGAGAACGCGATTGGTTTAATGGAAACATTCATTATTATAACCAATTGTAGCAGTAATTTTTTACTGTGCTTGTCTGTTTAACTGTACTAAAGACATCCATTATTCCTCCATTCTTCTTCCGTGAACTGTGACGCCCGCACGTTCGCCCATTGATTCCACTTGTATTTGATTTGGCACGATCTTGGTATACTTTTGATATCACGAGATCGCCAACGAATAAACCTGATTACAACCTCCTTCCCCCTTCTGATTTTCTGGTACACGCTCATCCTGTAGTGGTGATCATAGTCAAATGCGACTCGACGCCACGCTACAACTGGTGAACCTGAAGTTACGAACGCTTGGCAATCGCAACCAAGCCTTCCAAAGAAAGCAATCGCGGTGACTTTAGAATACGAAAGAAGTCGTTAGTTGGAATTTTTAAGCGACCTTCAGCGGGATGGTTTCCACAATCAGAACTCTCGCTCCTGGAGCTTCATGTATTCAGTGGTGCCACGGAAACAGGATATGGTGCGCTAGCGGACGTACGCTGAAGGTCGCGGAAGAAGAATGGAGGAATAATGGATGTCTTTAGTACAGTTAAACAGACAAGCACAGTAAAAAATTACTGCTACAATTGGTTATAATAATGAATGTTTCCATTAAACCAATCGCGTTCTCTTGATAAAAGTATGTCTCTACACATATGAACAAACAAGTTCAAAAGTCGAGTAAAACGAATACATCCAAAAATACGGTAAAATCATAAATTTTTATTTTAAACGTTTTTAATCAGCCAAATGTTTTCAGTCCTCCTGTAACAGTGATCGTGACATTGTTTACTAAACGGCTAAACGAATATTGACTAGTCTCTGAGAATAGAACGTGGGATGCTGAATTAGTATCTTATCTGGAGTTAAGTGATAATTTGTAGAACTATGGTCTACTATGATATTAGTACTGCTCTAATAATAGACCTAATCCTAAATTTGTAGATTCGTCATGATATAACTGCCTAATCTATAAGATCTTACGTGGAAGTCACACCATCGACTACGCCAACTCACTGTATCGTATCAATTACCAATACATGATGAGGAAGAAGGTTAGTTTAGAGAAGGAACAATATATTTAATATGAATAGAGACCACGCCTGCATGGCCGAGCCATGCCACTCGATCAACTCCAGACCATTCAATTCATTGTTCGCGCCTTCTCCATTGTTAGGTATTTCTCCGCGTTAAATATTGAATATCTATTTTCATAGTAGTCTCGTGTTCACAGCTTTGTGGATTGTGTGGCTATTGTCCAATGCCACTACACTACTCTCCCACCAGAATCAACGTGATGTTGGTTCGATACCAAATTGGATGGGATCGTCGCGCGCCGGAGGTTACCAAGGATAATAAGAATCCTCCGGGTATTGATAAGCTGAAAGATAAATCAAAAAGAAGGCGGCAGCATCTGGTCGGGAAATACATGTAATAATCTTAAAATATCTGCTTTCATGATTAACACGCTTAAAATGAAAATTTGGTTGAAGATTATTTGAACTATAAAAAATGGGATTATAATAATAATAATAAAACGATGCGTGTTAATAACTTAACTTATAGGCAGTAATTATTTTGTGTTTAGAAATATTAAAATAATGAATATTGTAGAAATGTTAATATTGGTATTAGTTTTGGTTTAAATTATGAAATCGGATAACCAGGGGGAGTACACTCCCAACTCATGTCTATGATAATGGCTTGAACCTTAGTCAGTGTTGGGGTAAATTCGACATTGATGTTTTCAGTTTGCAGGAGATTTGCTCGACTGCTTATACTGATTATTTGCATGCATGATTGTGTCGCTAAACCATCAATTAGACTGACAAGATTTTGAGATATTTACTGAATGAGCAACTGATAGAGAAACATACTGTAATCATCTGTGATGGATGAAGATACCAAGAAAACAACACCATTTAATGGTAATTATAAGTCAATTTGTTGACCGATTTCGTTAATAGTTTCATTAATTTTATCAATCATATTACGTGATTGTCAAGTTATGACAATGCTTTATGATGATATCCTGAAACTATTAAATTTAACTAGTTATAGTGTTGATTAAGGATTAGTCAGTGGAAAAATAGGTATTGTTGCTTTAGGTGATTCAAAATCATCAGATATTTATAACGTTAAAGAATCCGAGACGCCTAATTTAATTATAAATTTCAATTCAGAAATATTCGTTTAGTGTTCATTCTAGTAGGCTACTGAGTTTTGATTTTAAACGTTTGTTTAGCCAACAGCTACTTGGGGATTTAGTTATTTCACTAGTGCAGTTGATAGTACCTAAATTTTTAATCTTATTATCTAAACTATGTTCGCATTTTAGGCTGCTAATATGATAAACTAATCCATAAACCCAAATACGATTAGCAACAACGACTATGATGGGTTTATTGATAAATGTTAAAGGCGATTCAGATGATTTCTAAATTTAGAAGACATGGAGATATAGTGTAACGTATGTATGGGCCAGGTTAACATGCAGGTTGTTGACGTATATGACGATTTAAAAATAATGAACATGACCAGAAAATAGTTTTAAAGTTTAGACTGCTTGTGAAACTTCAGGCAGGAATATGATGCGTTATAAACATTCCATAAGAAGTTACTGCATTTAGCCTAGGGACACTTACAAATATATAGTAAAAGGAACCGGAAAACATATACATGTTAAGTAAAAAAAATCATCCAGTAAAATAGTTGAACTCGCCTGGATTATTTTTGAAAATTAGATTATTCAGTGGACGACATATATAACGCCATTCGTGAGGAGTAGTAATGATCCAAAAGCATCCAGAATAAAACATACAGTATGGCAATCACTTCCAGGGTGCTTGATGCTGTTGAGGTCTTTGGGACTCGCTCTGATCAGAACAACTGAATGAATCCAGATAATTGTGTGTGCCATCTAAAATGAACTTATGATTGCAGAAAACTTATAGCTGGAACTCACCGTATGTTTTTGGAGTAGTCATCCTCGTTGTTTGGCAATGGAACTCGAGAATATGAAATTAGGTAGGCAGTGGTCGGAAGAAAAGATATTACAGGATAGTGCATCGTTTAAAACAGGATGAGGTGTTAAGTGAAGGAACACTGAGAATTAGATCCAGATAACTATTTAGTCCTTGATCGCATTGTTAGTCAATGTATATTTACGCTATTTACAGGTCATATTTGCTAGAGCTTGATGTTTAAACAAGACTATGTCGCTGAAGCATGTAAATGCTATTACAGCTTGTTAACAAATCATCAAAGCTAATTAGTTAATATAGACGACCAGTTTTTATTATCGATTGAGCTAGTTTGTCATGAGGACTAATCAATATAACATTACGATAATGCATGTGAGCATTAATCAGAGGACTATTGGAATACAGGGTTAACATAAATATAAAATCGATCGAGAAAGTTGAAGTGGAAATAAGGATTAATAATAATAGGTTGCGTTTCTTTAGTTGGGCTCACCAATGTAGAACTATGGTCTACTATGATATTAGTACTGCTCTAATAATAGACCTAATCCTAAATTTGTAGATTCGTCATGATATAACTGCCTAATCTATAAGATCTTACGTGGAAGTCACACCATCGACTACGCCAACTCACTGTATCGTATCAATTACCAATACATGATGAGGAAGAAGGTTAGTTTAGAG